AAATTTTTACAAAGTGTATCCATTTATAAAAATGTAGCAGTACTTAAACAGATATCTATTGCATCTTGGTAAGTACAAACATAATAGTCAAAAGTTGTAAAACACAGGGATAAGCTTGTGACACAGAAAAATTTATTTTGCTGTTGATAAACATAAATACTGTACAATCCTATAAAATGTCAATAGCATACTACCTGTAACAATTTATATATTTTTTGAGTCAAGTTCTCTTAATACAAAAGAAACCACAAGTATACCGAGCCCTCGATTTGTGGAAATTAGGGCAAAGCAAAATTTTCACAACAAAAGTAATATGATACAGGTACAGTATTCACACCAATATTAAAAAAGAAGAGGCAATGTGATGCATGAGGTTGGTGGTCATTTACAAGGCAATTTCCTTTTGCGTTGTCCCCAGAACTGTATTTGCCTGTGGCCACCAAAACCAACACACTCGCCTTGTGAATTCTCACTTTCTGCATAATGCGCTTTTGAAAAACATTCTTTTATGGCCCCTCCCGAGCTTCTGTACCTCATTATGTAATGCATTGTGGCTGGAAATTGGTGGCAATATTTACTACTGTAATAATGAGACAGTCAGTAGGAGCCATGAGGAATATTCGAACCCGCACACTTGGTATTCCCAAGCCCATGGCCCAGGAAAAATTCACCAGGACATGATCAAAAGAAATCCAACCTGGGATTCAACTGAATCCTCCAGGGGTCCTGAGGCTTTCACTGAATCCCAATCAGTGTTTTTACACATTGCCCACATGATGTGGTGGTCGAGGGCATGTGCTTGGAAGCACCAAGGTGTGCAGGTTCGAATCCTCCTCGTGGCTCCTAATTTTTTCACCGATACATTACATTAACTATTTCATTGTGTAATTGAAGAGAAGTGTTGGAAGTAGAACTCCTCGACCACAGCCAAATTGCATGGGGGCAATGTTTAACCCTGATTGAGCTTCATGAGAAGCCTCAGGATGCCTAAAGGACTCAGGTGAATCCCAGGTTGCATTGCTTTTGACTATGTTGTGGTGTAGTGGTTTAGGGTGTGTGCTTGGGCATAGGTTCGAATCCTCCTCACAGTTCCTACTGACTTTCTCATTGATACATCATGCTAATGTGATCTCATTGTGCACTGTGATGATGTTAAAATTGGCATTTTAATAAGGAACTGAAAATGTAGACTTCCTGGAGGTCTGTAGAACATAAGCTAATTTTCTCCAAATATAGTAGCCTTAAACTTGAAATAAACAAATTTACTACATATGTTTTTTCCATAATGAAAAATTGAATGACTAGCATACTCCTGATTTTCAGAGAATATTTCTCTTTGTGCAACATAATTCTATTCATATTTTTTTACCACCTTTAAACTTATAATGGGAAGGTAGTTACCAACTGTTATACAACACCACAAATAATGTACTCAACATGTGCCTTATCCAGCAAGGATAGATAAAAACACTGTAGCATACAATCTAATGCAGAAAGGAAGTACTGTATAATACTGTATTTGTTATGGCAAATCTGTAATTGGCAATATGCACTGTCCTGCATTAACATTAGATGCTACAGCTGATTGCTTGGAGCCATTTATCGGGATAACACTGTAATCATTATACAGAGTAATCACGTTAACATGATGTATCAATGGGAAAATCCATAAGAGCCATGTTCGAATCCTCATCACGGCTCCTACGGATTTTCTCTCTGTAATCATTGTTGCAAGGAAAGCCTACACTCTACTGTAGTGAGCCATCAATTATTATGGTGTTCGATGCTTCACTTGGTCTAAACAGTGACACGAAAAACACATGTATTTATAAAACACTGAAACTCATGGATAAATAATTATAAACCAGCCCAGATGCTGTACAATTATTGGTATAATTTTTCTGGACAAAAAATAATTGGTATTTTTCTGTATAATTTTTCTGGACAAAATCTAACCAATCACCAATATCTGGTGTTTTAAATTAAACACCTGGTAGAGAAAGTACTGTATGTCATCAAAGCTGAATCATCAAAGTATGAATGTATGTCATCAAAGATAAATAAATATATTATTCCTAGTAGGAAACCACATCCCTCAACTGCCCAGGTAAGTTAGGATCTGGATGCCAGTCTATGCCAAGTTTTAGAAGCTGCTGTGATGACCAAACCACACAACAGCATATGAAGTAACGACGACGTTTCGATCTGTCCTGGACCATTACCATACACCTTGATAATGGTCCAGAACAGATCGAAATGATGATGTTTCTTCATCTTCTGTTGTGTGGTTTGGTCATCATATCTTCAGCCAAGTTACTGTGACTTCTTGTCTGCACTATAAGCTGCTGATATGACAGTGGCTGGATAGTAGCATGCAGTTCCTAGGCAGCTGCATCCTTAGGTAGAGGAGTGGCATGGAGAGTAATAGTAATCATGTCTAGTGCCATTGTCATTTATAACTACAACACTATTATCCACTGTCATTCTCAAAATTTATTCCCACTTTGCTATTTAGATCACCCATTACAATTATTCTAAAACTTGTAGATATCATACAATATATATGATATGATATTGTAAGCTCCAAGTTATGCCCACCCCAAAACGAACAAAAAAATCTCATTTCTATCATCGTGCATTGCATATAAAATAACAAACTTGAATTCCACACAAACACCTTGAATTGGAATATGTCGCCTATTCATTAAGTCACATACCACTCTTACATTTTCACTTTCTTTTACAGTACTTCTGTTCCTACAACATGTACTTCATTCCACACTTCATTACTACCATACTTCCTTTCATCTTTCTCACAAAAACCTACCATATCAAACTTTCCTTCTTTAAAAGTTTTTGTCACTTCCAACTTATGTTCTTGATTAATTCATCTTGCCTTCCAAACTGCCACTCAAACCAGTCTTGAAGGACATAGCATACTGTATTACAAATTAACTTCTCAGCAAATTGACTCATTATGTATTTCTATTATAAAAATCCATTATTTGTGATTGTTAAACAACATAAATGTCTAACAATAATTTATGTGGCACTATCCTAGGATTATAAAATAATGATACAAATTACCTGGCAGTTCAGTGCCAAAGTAAATTTAAGGTTCCAGATACACTATCTGCTTTTGATGAAATATAATTATGGTGACAAGATATGAATATGGGATAGATTTCCTTAATTTGTACCCTCATTGAGTATACACATAATTAACCATATTTACTTCCATTATATGTATAAATGTTATCAACACAAGGTAATGCAACTAAAAAACTCCAGCTCTATTTTTATTTTTATTCTAAACCTGCTACACATTTTCTTGATCTAATGGTAGAATAAGGAAGGTTCCCACATTCACATCTACATGCCAAACATACAAATATACATACATACATACCTGTACATACATATATACAAACATACATACATACTCACGTACGTACATACATACATACCCACCCTTGGTCCCACCATCATCATCATCCCCCTCTTACCATATCCCAGAACATTATTCCTGCAAAGTTGGGTCTGTCGGTCTGTCCAAAGTTGGAGGCTGGATACTTGGAGGCCGGACACTTGGAGCTAGCCTCACCCAACTTTGCAGGGGGAATTGGTCTGGGTGAGCCGTTATCAGAGTTGGCCAAAGTTAAATGCTTTAAGAAATATAAGCATTTATAAAAACCCTTTATGTAATTTTCTTGGAGTGAAATGTGAAATATTTGGTGTGATATTTCTAGAGTTTTTATTGATCATGTTGATGTATTTTCTGATAGACCCATGCAGTTGTGTCAGTGCTTCCTAATACTGTAATACATTTTCTGGGAGAGGGGGAAAAGACGGGAACAATAAAGGGGAAGACCAAGGGGATGGGGATGAGGGGTCAAGAGAATGACATGGTGAAGAGTCGGGAAGGGTGGAAAGAGTGGGGGGAAGTAACCCGGGTGCAGCTTGGCACCCCTTCTATATACTGTACATATAAATTTAAATACCTGTCTGTTCGAGGGGGGGAGGGGATGGTGGTGAGAGGCGGGGTGAGTGGGGGAGATGGAGAGTGTAAGAAGATGGGGAAAAGGAGGGAGAGGGAGGGAAAATGGGGGGGGGGGGGAAGGAAGGCAAGAGGGAGGTATGAAAGGGGGGTCAGAGGGGGGAGAAAAGGGACAGGAGGCAGAAAGAGAAAACAGGGGAGGGAGGACAAGAAAGAGGGAAGTTAATATGAAATTATTGTTATAATATTGATATTATTAGTGCTTAAAGTAAAGCTGGTTAATAAAGATTTTTATGAAACTTATCCATACTGTGTGAGGATTTATTTGATTACTTTGGTATTATTGTAATAACAACTTACTACAATGAACAGAAAACTTCATCAAAGACATGTGCGTAAAAATGGCAACTTCCACTACCGTACAAAGTTTACCTCTTATGCTTGCATCAAAACATTCTCTCTTAGCCATCAACACCTCATTACCACCACATTACACACCCCATCACCAATCCAAAGTAAACAAAACATTTGTTTTATCTCCCAAAGATTATACTTTCTTGTCACCAATTTCCTACTTTTTTTATGATGCATTTATGGATTTTAAACCAGTAAAGACTTCAATCTTACATTTGTTTATATCTCACTTAAAAGAAAAAATTGATATTTTCTAAAAAAATATTCATTGTCCATTCTTCAGTTTTTCTACTTTCCCTTTAATTCGATATATAAAACTCTATGCACATTTGTGTTTGTAACAAGACGTAGCCACTGGTGAAGCTGTCACAAAAGGTGCACTTAAAGATCTGACACAGGCTAACGAAACTGTTCTTTTCATGCACTGAAATCTGCTCTCCAACTCGCCCCTCTGAGAAAGTTGTAAGGACACCAAAACAAAAAACAAAAAATTAAATTTTCTCCTGAATATGAGAGTGAATGTTATGTAAGAAATGGCTCGGTTAATAACAACCAAATGGCTTTACTAAATCCATGTAATTATACCAACCTGACATATTCACTGGTGAGTCTCATGATGTGCAGAGAGAGGGGGTTGAGGGCCTGTGGTAAGCAGTTCTCTGCATCACTCAGTGGAATTCTCTCTCCCGTGTCTAGGTTGAGTACAGTCACTTGCTTCAAGATTTCCTGAAAATACTAAGAGAGTTACTTGTTTTGCCATGAATTGGGGTAATTTCACATTTATCACATTTTAAGTTATATGGTACTACACAAATATTTTTATGTATTATGTAAATTATGATGCTTATGTAAATTTATGCATAAGTTCAAGGAAATCTATATAAGGAACATACATATAGTATTCCCTTAAAAATACTATACGGTATTAAGATATTCAAATATCTTACATTAATTTTATATTTTTCTACCAAAGAAGATAATTCATAAATGTATCTTTCCAGAAGAACAAATTACTAAGCTCATTGAATTCACCAGTATCATACAAGGGAAAAAGTAATCAACAGAAACACTAGCACAGTAGTAAGAACTTTGGAACTATGGACAGGGTTGCAACCAAACCTTAATCAAATTTTAGATGATATTTGTACTTTGCGACACCTACTTACATACCTAATTATGTATGTATTAAATTACTTTACCATTGTTTTTGTTATATTTATCCATTATACTATAGCTTTGTGTTTTTTTAGCAAAATTTACTGTTTTTGTAAACTGATGGTGGAAAAGTGCAAGGACTACCTGAAAGTCAACAGTGCAGTGATATCACTTCATCTTACCCCTGGTCAGACAGTTGCAGAGATATTCTGTTATTTGCAAACATTGTTTTCTAAGATGGATATAAAAGCAGAACCAGTGGATACATTTTCAGAATCATGCTGATACTAATGGAGCAATTTCCCAATATACAGTACTGCATTTCAAGACCCACTTCAAAGTGCATCAGACAGGAATAAATTATGCAAAAAGCATCGCTGATAGGGCAAATAGTTTGATGACTGCCTATAGGCAGGCTAAGGAATGTGTGGCTGCTCAAGGAAAGAATAAACCTGTGTTCAAACAACAAGAGTTGGTTGTCTACGGACAAATTTGAGAACTCCATTAACCCTAGTGGAACCGGCAGTGCAAAAAACAAGCCCTAGCAGCCCTGAGATACTGTACGAAGATACTGTAGTGGAAACTTGTAATAAAATGCCATAAACTAGTGGAACAGCTGCATTCAATGAAAGTACTAGCACAAATGACTGAGCTCAATACTTCCTTCTGAAAATAGGGAACAGTTTTGCAATTAAGTGTTGAAAATGCAGGAAGACAGGAAACTATTCAACTATTTTATGTCACTTGGTTAGACATATATATATGTGAATGAGACTGGGTGAATATAAATTGGAGCTGCCTCGTATGGGTCAATAGGCCTTCTGCACTTAGTACCTTCATTCTTATGTTCTTATGTTCTTATGATTGTAGAACACTGAAGAAGATGGTAAATCTTGCAGTGTTAAAAGTCAGCAAATCTGTAGTACAAGCAGGTGAGGATGAGATACATGGGAAGCTTATCACCACTGAAGCAAGAGCTTAGACACTGTTTATAACTGAGAGCAGAGAGAAAAATGGCCAGTCTGAGGAAAAGGAATGTATACTACATGATAAAGGCTCCAACCAAAGTTCGTCGTACCCTAGCAAATATGTCTCACAAGAAGAATACAGTATATGCAGACGACGAGTCACAATAACACGGCTAAAGATATGATGACCAAACCACATAGTTTGGTCATCAGAAGAATGTATGCCTGATGGCATCCAGCTCCAACTAAGTTGGATGTTTCAGACCTTGAGAGCTGTGATCCACATGTGTCTGGACACCAAGAATTGAAGAAAACACTAAGAACAGGATTACATCTGCTGGTGTGGTGGTGGCTGAGGGAAGAATTATTGTTGGATATGTATTTCATCAGCTCACACTAGTATTTTCGAGTTACTAGTTTACCTGATAACGGTAATGAATTAGAGTTCAGAATTACTGTATTTTGGGTGAGTACCAGTCTTTAAATTTGTTTTCTTATAGTAAGTGCGAATGGAAATATACCTTGCAACTGAAATGTGTTTATAACTGATGGCATATGGTCCAGACCCTGTCAGATATGACGTACAGTTATCTCTGACAATCAGAATCATATGGAGTGGATATAAAAATGTGGAGTATACTAATTTTTTACAAAACTCACATAAAAACAACAACAACAAAAATCTAATTCTTTACAGATAAAGACAGAACTCATGCAGTTTCTACATACATAACAGTGATTAGGGTTTTAAAGGTGTGTAGACTATTTGATAATTTTTTACACATTTCAAATTATAAATAATACAACATTATGTTGAAATGCAATCCAAAGTTGTAGGTAAGACACTCTGACATTTCACAAGTCCAGGACAACGTGGGACAAATAATCCATCTGGTGAAGCAACAGCAAGGTCACTAGCTCACTAGTGCCACACGAACACAACATTCATCAAACCATTTGGTTAAGTCTGCACAAATTTTGGCCAGACTCAAAAACAGGAAGCCAAACAATAGATTTTGGCTCTACAGCCCATCACAACCAGAGTGTATCCCTAAAGATTGAAACACTAGTCAGTTTCCTATACCACACCAAATAAAGATATTTTCAAGGAGGTATATTTGCACACATACTATTACAGAATACAGGAAAAGGAGATTCAAGATACAAAAACAACCAAACCATGCACCATATCTTTCACACAGCATCACCTGTTATCAGCATCACAGCATCACAGCATTATTTACATTCAAATAAAACATCAACAGCAGCACCATTCTACTACTTGCGACTAAGTAATGCTGTCATCAGTCTTGTGGCTTTCTGAGTTATGTTCTTTACATCTTTCTAGGGTATTTTCACTCTTAATTTACCTATTCCCCAATATCACACATACTTCTCAAATTACCTTTTTTTTTTAAACTCCAGCTCTTGATTCTTCCAATTTATACAACATTTTATGCTTCCGAGACAACAATGTCTCGCAGTCTTACACCAGTCACCACTACTTCTTCATGCAATCCTCTGGTTTAATTTATTTATATTCTTCGATTGCACAAATTTATCTTAAAACAATCACACATACCGATCGACCACTTCAAATAATTCAAAATTCCATTACACAAACAATTCAATTTCTTTCAACCACTGTAACTTTATTTTTGACAATGAAGTTCAACCCTCAATTTTGCGAAGTATATAGTGCTTCACCAACCTCTTCCAGTATGGAACACTACCATATTCATCTCTGGTCAAATTTTCCTTATCCTAAACTTAATTTTAACTTTATAGTAATACTTCATATAGTGAATTAAAATATTTTGGTCACTTCCTTGAGTCAACTCAAAACAAATTTCACACAAGTTTGTACAAAAACATATCATCATATAGTTTTAACCATCCAAGAGTTGAATTAACTGGCAGAAGTTGCTCAAACATATAAAAGTAAAGTGATTACTGCATTACCAATAAACTATTACTCCAACATTTGCAAACCAAATTGAAAGAGACTTACAAAATATGAAAAGTTCATCAAATAATTAAGTGTGATAAAAGTTTGATATCAGTGAAAACGCCACACTATGGCATGACATAAAGCTTTACCTTAAGGGATAAATATCTATCTAATCAAAGACAAAAGATTCCAAGGGAATAGGAATGCAAAAAATCAAAGTGCTAGGAATTGCACACATACACAACCAATGCTACAGGGCAAACTATAATGCCTGAAATAGCCACACTCACTTTGTCACTCATGAAGACATCAAAGTCAACGGGAGACTGCAAAAACCATTCCTTCAAAGAGAGGAGATGTAAGTTTTAACTAATGCTAACAAAACAAAAATTGCACCACTCAAGGGGTAAGATATGTAAGAAAGAAATGCTCACAGAAGAGAATAATGAGATACTACAAACAAAATTAACGTCTAAATATTATATACTGAGATATACTTTTGTTAGTAAAGAAGAAGAACGAATAAGGCTTAGTTATCAATGCTGCACAGAAAAACATCATAACATTATGTCAACAATTCATTGCAATACAAATTTTAAATTAAGCCTTACATAATCATACTTTATCCTTTGTTAAATGCTTAAGGATAAAGTGAAGAGACAAAATAAGAAATGAAACATACAGCATCAGATAGTTCTTTGCCAGAGTCTGATCGGGTTCGGACCATCAGGTTGAGCTGCTTCATCTGCCCTTCACTGCTTGATGAAGGACTTGCTGCAGCATCTGTAATACCATGCAATTTGATCAAGGCATCTCTCACAAATACAGCAGTGTGGAAGAAAACATCAGAACATATGTTAAAGTATATAATGTTAAAGTATATAAGTGTTGTGAATAACAAAATGTATAAAATTATGTAGGGATGAAATAAAGTGAAAAACCAGCACTGAATGTAGTGAAACACCTCTTTCTGGCGGGTCCTTGGTGGCTCCTTGATGTTTGCTACCTAGCAAGTTCCACCCAATTCAATCCACACTAGGCCCTTGTAAGTCATACAAGCTTACCGGGGACCTAAGGCCAAAATCTGGCCCCCCTCTTCAGGGGGATAGAACATAGAATTGCAGATCACCCTAACCAAAAGAAGGCCACCAGAAAAGTGGGAAAACCAAAATATACAAACAGCAAGGTAAACAAATCACAGACATGAGGAGAGCAAAGCCCTGAGACTCATGAACCAGTTGGTGGTGCTGTTTTTAATTTATGTAAATGCCCTAACAAAGGGAGTGAGCGCTTACATATCGATGTTCGCAGATGATGCGAAGTTAATGAGGAGAGTAAGAACTGAAGAGGACTGTAGGATGCAGCAAGAAGATCTTAACAAACTTCAGGTGTGGGCAGATAAATGGCTGCTGGAATTTAATTCAAATAAGTACAAAGTAATGTTTTTAAGATCTTTCTCTCCTTTAGTTCTCTCAGTCAGTTGTTTCTTGTTGGTTGGTGAGGATGGAGTTAACTGGCTCTACTTCTCTATACAATTAGGAGATGTTTTGTACTGACTACTGTCCAAAGACATTCACAAGAATCTGTTTATAACCTTTTTGTGCCCTCTGTTGTCTTTTAATTGGATGAAAATTGATGGCAGTTTTCATCCAACATTTGTTGAATAGATTTAGTTCTAACAGCTTATGAGTGAGGGTGGTGAGCTGACTGGGACCCTGGATGACCTGGGCTACCACGTTGTGGCAGTCAGAAGCATCATGGTTACAGCATTTACACAGCAACAGTAACTGTTTGCCTTGTTACCTAAGAGTACCTAGTTTTCTTCGAGCTATGTCTTGTTTTGTTGGGCTAATGGTTTTTAATGTATTTTTATTTTTGTTTTAGGTTAATCTTTGAACCTCCAAGCTCCCTTTGCCTTGTAAAAAGATAAAATTTTTGCCATGACAGTGTGGACCCCACCAGAAAAGTGCATTTCAGTACATTCAATGACTGATTTCTAACCTGGTGTTGGAGTATCTGATGGAATAGATCCAGGTGTTCCTGGAGTGCTGGGTGTTCCCCCAGCTGAAGGTGGCTGATGGCTGGAGTTAGCCAAGCGACTTGAAGCACGAGAAATTTCTGGTGTAGAAGCCTGGCTTGTGGTGTCTTCGGCTTCTAATCTAGCTATTTCCTCAGCACTTGGACCCACAGCTTTAGCATTTTCTGAATCCTAAATATTGTAAGTATAATTTTTTTTAATCAAACACAGTGTATAGTAGTAGGTAGACTACAAGAAGTAATGTTAATTTAATTGGAACTGCAGCATTTACATTCATAATTAAAATACAATAATGATTCAAAACAATTAAAAGCAAAGAATTATTCATGTTTGTATATGCCTTGAGTAGCAAATTTGTAATAAGACTACATTTTGAGGTGGTGTTAGTGTGAATAAGATATCCCCAAGAAATTCTATAATAACTACAGTATAGTCATTTACATGTACACCCTGAATTGCAAATGCTGTCTGGTAAGCACCATGACTAAAGGAGGTGATAAGATGTGTCCATGCCAAAGAGGGTCTAAACTTATGGTCCAGCAAATACAATTTTTGAAATTGAAGCTAAGGTACACTGTGGGCAGAGGCATAAATGACCTAAAATGTGTCGGAGCCAATTTAACAACAGCAATGAAATCTGTACTCCAGAGCTTGTTTATTCAATAATTTTTTGTTAAGAAGAATCCCATAACAAAGGCAAAGTTACCTACTCAACACAGCAGCACACCCCCCTCCTACAGAGAGGACACACCCCAACAGAACAGAACCCCCCCAACAGAGCAGGATCTCATGTTATCATCAAACATTTTAAAAATTCAGTCCTGGGAGGGTGACCAGAATGTAGAAATACTCTCCTCAAAGTGTTAAAATATTAGGAAATGCATACAGTATTGTGGTAAGTTCTTCTGCTCCATAATGAAAAAGCTTAATACAAAACTTATCGGGGAGGTATGCAATATCATGCACAATACTTACTTGTGGTTTGACAAGATAATCTCCACGGACGGCCTGACGTATATCTAAACACTGACCAATGCTGATGGCATCAACAGATGACAGAGTGAGGGCAGGAGATGGTAATGAAGATACACTTGCTAAACTTGCAGTGTCCTGAAACAAAATATCAAGCTCCTCAATCGAGTTCACAAAGGGATAACATACACAGCATATAAACAGTCCATATACAGCAGTCACTTTAAAAATGTGAGCACCAAGAACACAGGATTCTCATATTTTCTATTAAACCAATAATCAGTCATGAGTGCTTAAATGCATGACAAATTTAATTATCAATATTTTTGCATTTCTGATAGTTTGCATAATTTCATATATGCCAAATATTCTCTATTATATTATTAATATAAATACTTATTATTCTTGTTTATATCAAATAACTTAAAACATTGTGATGATTATATTAAGATTATCATAAGCACAATACCGTAATGAAAATTAAATAAAAAACCAGCGTTGAATGTAATGAAATGCCATTTTCTGGGTGAGCCCCGGAGGCTTCCTAAAGCTATCCGAACTGATATAGTGTTTTATTAGTTTGTGGTCATCAGTCAGAGTCCTTTGCTTACCGGGAATCATGAGCCAGAACCTGATCCCCTCAGGGAGGTGCAGGGAGCATTGGTCTATGAGCACTTTACATTTAAAATATGTCATTGTTTGCCATCGACTGGGAAAGGCACCCAGAAAAACAGTATAGTGATAATTGCTACTTACGTCCAGAAAGAGGAAAGAAACTCTCCCAAAAAGAAAACAAACTAGCAACCATTCATGCAACTAGCACTCTTGGTCGTTAGCGCTACCCCTCCCAGAGGGCCTCGAGGAAGCTGAATCCGCCACAACACCATCCACATAGCCGCAAACACCCACACCGTTTTGTGAGCCCAATGGAAGGTCAGAGCCCACCACCCCTGCCCAGCCTGGGTGAGCACTGGTCACAAAGCCCCACCCAAGCTGAGACACGAGGCGTCCATGCACACATCGAGTGCAGGAAGAGGAAGGCGCCTTCCCGGTGACTCAGCAACCAGTATAAGGACACCAGAATGCAAACCCAGCTATCACAAGAGATGTGAAAAGGGGCTGCCTTAAAGCTACCATACAGCCTCCGAAGCCAATCCCTGCCCAGCAGGTAAACCAGCATGGCAAAGTTCAGGCTCCCACACAACTGCTCGAGCAACCACCGAGTGACCCAGGTCTCCCTTAAAAACAGCTGAAAGCAGGGCCGCAACAACACTGCAGGGGGGAAAGAGACTGACACAGTCCGCGAATCCCACACAAGGCCCAGGCAAGTCTGAACCTAAGACGGAACCAGCTGGGACTTCCAGCAATTCACCAGGAACCTGAACCCGGCAAGCTGGAAAGGAATCAGATCCCTGACTAGCAGACACGCAGACCGGCTGGGAGCCCACACCAACCAGTCGTCGAGATAGGCCAGAACCCGAAGACCTAGCAAATGAAGACAGACCACTATGACCCTGATTGCCAGATTCAGATTCAGACCAAATGAAAGACAATATAAATGGCAAGCCTGTTGTTGGTTTACTGCTTAAAAAAAAATGAAGCAACACACACAAACCAACCGATCCATGTTGATCCAAACAACCGATTCCCAGAGAGAATCGCTGGCCGCCACATTTGTATGCAGGCTCTGCCGGCTGCAGCGCGCTCCCACCCTGCCAAAACACACTCCCTACCCAGGGCAAGATGGGAAGCCCAAGACCCCCTGATGGATCCCAATTACAAGAACAATGCCAAGCGACGAAGCACTCAAACGGGAGAGACCCGAACATCCCAGGGAAGAAAACCCCGACACGCAAGGGAAGTACTTACCGGACACTTAGTGGAGGAAGCCTTAGGCGCATGCAGTCCATCGTACCAGAGAAGACCTGGCCACCACACCACACAAAGCTGGCAAAGCCACAAACACAAAAGCCAGTCAATAAAGTGAGGCCAGGAGATGTGTTGACACCAGGCACATCAGTCAACGAACTGAGGTGGTGGGCTGCCGGCTCGCCTGAGCGGGGGATGGTACTAATGAGCTAGCGTGCTATTTGGAGGATGACTTGCTAACTTGCTTGATTGTTTGTTTGTTTTTGGAGGGGAGTTCTTTGGCTCTGTTCGGACATAGGTTGCAATTTTTACCAGTTGGGGGTTTGTATTGGTTCGCCTATCTTTCTGGGTGCCCTTCCTGGTCGATGGCAGACATGACGTGTTCTAAATGCAGAATGCTCATAATGGTCATTGCTCCCTACACCTCTCTGAGTGAACCAGGTTCTGGCTCTGGTCTCCGGTAGGCATACAGAACTCCAGGGACTGATGATACCAAACTAATATGGCACATGTCAGTTTGGATAGCTTCAGGGAGCCGACGGGGCTCCCCACAGAAAACATGACGAAAACATTAATGTTAAGCGAGGTAATTAATGCATTAGAAATAGAAGGTGGGTCATAAGAGCTAGATCTAACTCCCCCATAGTCTAATAGGTAAGCACTGACTTTTCTCCCAGGTACCTATTTTATTGATAGGTGAACAGAAGCATCAGATGAAACTAAATTTGCCCAATCATTTCTGTCCTGCCTGGGGGATTAAACCCAAGTCCCTCAATTGTGAGTCAAGGACATAGACCACTGTGATATAGGACAGGCTTTTTATTTGTAATAAATGACAAGACTTTGCAGCTTTATCTTTTTGGGTGTTGTAAAGCATCTATGTGAAAGTCAGGCTAATACTGTATATATATTCATTCAAACTTCAAGCATCTTATACAGAAAATTGAAGCTAGTAACCAATTAATCCACAACTCCTTAAAATTTAGCATGTCTACAATTTCCTCTGAAGTTGCTGCTATGCATACAAATATCAAATTTTGTCTATCATTCCTTCCTTATGCAACATATTTTCTTAGTACTTACATCATCATTACCCAGCTTGTTTCTTCGTCTTCTTCTAGGAGGAGCTACTGGAACTAAACATGGTGAAGTAGTCAGAGGTGGACCTTGTGACACATGGGACATAGCCTGAGCAACAATGGGTGCAGCGTGAACAGTAAAGGGAGCTTGAGAAGTTATATCAGCAGAAAGGGCACTAGAGCCAGGGGATGAAGGTGGTACTGATGATGGTATCATTGGAGGAATTTCTTGAAGATAGTTCTCTTTAGGAGTTTCAGACTGAGACAAATCAGGAAACACTTCAGAAACAGATAATTGTGGACAAGAAGATATATCCACTGATGGCAGGTTTGGGGGCAATTCTTGTGCTGAACGGGGAAGGCTATTGGACTTATCACTGCCTGAACTGCTTTTTGTGCTAGCCACCAGGTCTGGCTCTGGAGACATTGTTATTCCTGCTATCTCACCTGCTGGGAAAATTTATTGTTTAAGCAAATAGACAAAACGAAATATCGGAGTTGTTACAGTAATCAACACCAAGATTTAACTAAACAAGCTTAGTAAGAAAGATAAAATTTATCTTTTAATTTGCAGCATTATTTATTTACTGCTGTATGAATAATCAATGATTTTTAAAGAGTAAGACATGACAAACTAGTGCCCAAGAAATGTAACTATCCAGAGTAGAGGAATAGTTACATTTCTTGCTCTGTAAAATTCACTATTGATGATTACTCAGTAACACATCTACACCATGTACAAAAATCCCTCTAATGTCAAGAAAGTCAAATAATATATAGATGAACTTGTTCACACATACACCAAGATATGTCCTAAGAACAACGTAATATATTTACCTGGATGTATTATGTTTCCTGATGAAGATATATCTTTTGAAGGATCTGACTGTGATGACACTATAGATTTATTTTCTGAAGGTGAGCTTGTATCTTGACTTAGCTGACCTTCACGTGTGGTTTGAGCTTCCATGCCAGCTAATATCTTGCCAACCTGAATAGAGTAAAATATAATTCATAATTAATAAAAATATAACACCATATAATCACTAAAACATTTGCATAATTTTGTATTATGTCAAAACTGAGTCAAGCTGTTTCTATTGTAGAATTACTGTACAAACTGATAATTTAAGTATGAAATGTCATCTTAACCTCGTATTCATACACTTTCAGAATTTTTACTTTGGTATTGTTCCAGATATGTCCAAATAAACCGAGGAAAATGCTATAATTACCATGTGGACTACCAAAAATCAAGAAGGCACGGCAACATTTGTACTACTACTATCAGTGTATTTTAGCACTGGATGCTCATTTCATACTGCCCTTTGATTTATTACAAAAATATAAAAATCTTTTCAGTATTTTTACTTCTTCTTTGGAGTTTCCCATTAGGGAAAAGCCACAGCAGAAGATCCTGCTAAAAGCTCAATCATCACACACATCTTTCTCTTTCAAGCTCTCTAACCCTTCAACCATTTGCTTGCAAACAAGCAAACGTGTATTACGTTTGCTTGTTTCCTTGGGATTGAAGGGAATTATATCTCTCTGTTCAGATTTTGTTGTTAGTTTCTTACCATGTGGGGGTTTGTTTTCGAATGCCTACCTTTCTGGGTGCCTAACCCCAGTCAATGGCAAATAAGGAAAACCTCAACCACAGGGGGTGGTTTTCCAGGGCCGTTGCTCCCTGAAACCTCTCTGAATGGGCCAGGTTCTGGCTCATAGTCCCTGGTAGGTCTGAACTCCATAGCTAATGTCCCAGTCTAATATAACATACATTAGCGCGATTAGCTCCAGGGAGCCGTAGGGGCTCCCCTCAGAAATAAGCAATATCATACGGGACATTACAAACCGGTAAATCTTCCTTTATTCTCATATAACTTTAAGTCTGACATTTGTGAATTTATGCGTCAAGGACTTACTGCACTAAAATCACTTTGCACTAATCCATGTACCAGATGAAAAGGGATCTTATTTTACACTAACCTTTCCAAGTGAGACTGTACTATAAACACTTGCAGCATCATGTTCAACAACTCTAAACGGATGAGAAGTCCTTCCCGATGGATAAACTGCATCTATTGAGGAGGATTGACTTCCAACTGGAGAAGGAGGGAATGGTGGGTCATCATCTTCTTTTTGGATTTGTCTTCGAACTTCTTGGTGTCTTATGCGTCGGCGCCCACCCGACCGAGCTCTTGGAGCGGCTTCCTCATCATCATCATCATCACCCTAGAAGCCAAATCAATGTAAAACCATTTATTTAGTTTCTTGATTGCTATATATTCATTCTCACTAATATGTTTACTAATGCACTTGCATTAAATCATGAGCATTACCCCATTCCCTAGTGATGGAGCAAGAAAGCATTTTCCCAGGGCAATCTAAAATATGAATTACAGGTATATTTACTTAATAATACACATCCGTTCAAGCCACCTCCCACTCAGTAGAATAATGAAAAACAAGTAACACCACAATCCAGGAAATCACACACAGCAGTATTTCAGTTGATTTATAAATAAAGTGCAACGTACTCCTCATGATATTGGCAAAATATAAATAATTTATCCTTCCCATTTACTTCTATTTCTCATGCACTGGTCTTATTCATTCCATGTTTCTTCTCCAAAGAGTTAAAAGAATTTAATTGAAAGATATGTTTCTTACCAAGTTTCCTAGTAGTGAACCACTACATGCACTGCTCGTTTCCTCAACATCACGCTTTCCGATACTTAAACTTCCTATGCTGAGACGTTCCTCTTTTTCCAAACCAGCAGGAGAAACTTCGACCAATGTTTTTTCCGAAGATATCAGATCTTTTGAAGACTGCAAGTTCATGAACAGTAAATAAAGTATTGTTAACTATAAACATTTTAATTGTCTTAAGGCAATAAAGAATGGTATCTCTGAGCTGGCATATGGTATTATACAACAAGGAGTGATATTATGAGAACTCCATTCCTGGAAAATTTTTATTAATTTCAAGGGTCACATTCAATATGTAACCATTTAAGCAAAAGAAAAACATTTCATATACAGGTATTTCATTATGCAAGGTAGCCAATGCAGTCCAAACAGATCACAATCAAATGAGCATCATCAAGAATGGGCTACAACAATTTTTTATTATTCACTTCCAAAGACAACACTTTTCTTGACTTCAACTACTCATTTTTAAATACGGAAAATGAAACTCACCTGAAAAGCTTTCAGTGGGTGAAGAAAGGGTTGAGATGGTGGCTGCATAAGAGTTGTGGTTGGACTTGATTGAATTAGGTTCATTTCTACAGACTGGAGTAAATCTTGTCCCTTGAAGAACAAAAACCATCCAAACATTAATTTTGTTTGTAATTGGGGAATGTGTACGAAGCAAAATATAAATGGTAGAAATGATGGTTGAAAACAAAACTGGTGTAATACAGGTCCGTAAATTATTACAACAGGATTTTATAAACAGTACTTTACAGTATTATAACTCATGATGGTAATAGATGGTTATTAAATTCAAATTTACTATAATAGCAATACCAGAGTCACTCATATTATCAGCTTGAGAGAGACAAATATAACATACATTAGCAACACAGTTACATGCATACAGCTCTCAACTTGAACTCAATTAGGTGTATCACTATCAACATCAACAGCCAGGTTGTATGTTGTGGTATGGTAGTGTCATCACACTAACCATTGCCTGAGGCCCTTCTTTAGTCTTATGGTGTGTCTCAAGTAGTAACTCTTATCCTACCTTTTTTTCTACCACAGATGTGGCTACACATTTACATTCTAACCAGCATACAGTATATACATTTTTTTCTGTCCTCCATGGACAGGGTTAGAGATCTGTTAAGCATATAGTTAAGAAATTTATTGAACAATCAACCACAGAAGGTGATTGTAGTCCTTATAAAATGCTAATCTAACCTACATACATAAATACATAACTACACCGATTTGTATCTGCCCTACATTAACAATGTTCAATGTGTGTTTTTACATAATGTCATTAATGTATATTTACAAACGTGAAATGCAATTCCTGTTCACTGACACACACAAATCACTGGGTAAGAGTAGCAAAAATTGATGACTGACATGACCTAACCTGAAGTCTTTAGTATTGATGAATTCTTTACTTTCTGTTATCTAAACCCACTTCCACCATTCCCTTGGCAGCCAGTGCCTGCAAGTCCTCAAGCTGATGCTGTTCAGGAGTACAAATAAATGTGGGAGGCTGCAATGCCAAGCAAACAGAGGCCAAGCACGCTGGCCACTCAACAATCATATTAGAAAAGGCAGAGGAGACAGCCTGGAATTTGGCTGTTGGAAACCAGGTGCTCATAAATCTCTCTCATGAAAGAGTAAAAACAGGTAATACCATTGTCCACATCAGGCACAGGCTGTAGCAGCCTGTAGCAAGAAGCCTAATTACACAATGAGACTGCAGCCTGATAGGCCATCAATTGAGAGGGCAGTTTGGCCAACATAGAGGTCAAACACTGGAAGACAGTACACATTCTAGGACAAAAATACAGTACCCCAGAACCCAACAGGATGAATGATAGAGGCAGCAAGAATGACCATCAGCATTTAAAAACACAGACTTGCATCCAAGAAAGCTGCAAGCAGTAAAATCCAGCACTGAATTGGTTTGGCAAGCCATAATTACTCAATAAACTGTGAGGATGAGGGAAACAGAGCATACAGAGACAATGGGTACTGGCTGTTTATACTGTTATGTAAACAGGAAGGCATGCCAAGAACAAGGAAAGTGAGTTGTCAAATAACGCACTGAACTCCTGAGTCAATTTCGAGATGAAGGTAGGCATACAAAGCCATGAACAAGAAAAAATCCCTAGTGTTACTCAAGGAATGCATAGGACTACAACCCAGGCACTATTTATATACATATACATAGCTGGTATGTGGAGAGAAGGGTCCACATACCACATGGTGGCGAGATGACTCAAGAAGAGCCAACTCACAGTGTAAGGATGCAAATTGCTTGATTAGTGCCAGGCAAGTGAGTGAGGTAGATGGCTGGCAGGGACTAAATGTGAATTGGGCCAACATCGGGTGCTGGTCAGGCACATCAAGGTTAGTGTTGTTCACTCGTGGTAATGATAGTTCATAAATATTGTACTCACTTTGCATCTAAATAAAGAAAAAAAACAGACTGTTGTAAACCTAAACTCAAATTTATTTCACAGAACTGTAATTAAAACCATTCTAAAAACTAAACTTACAGTAGTCAAATTGCCCAGCATAGTAGAATGTTCTAATGGAGTCCATTGGTGATCTGTAGCTTTCTCAACAACTGCTCCTTCTTCTGACCTATGGAGATTAATGTGATAACATGAAAATGATTACACTAAATATGTCTACTCTTCTGGAATGTCCCTGTCTAAATGTACCTAATAGATACACTATATTCACTTTCACACAATGTTAATTAGGTATGTGCCAGATATCCAGTAGCTATCCAGCTATATTTAGATATCCAACTACATACCACTATAGTATCTGACTGGATACACAACTAGTATACTGTATTTTATTTGTTTTGTGACAACACCAAGTCTATTTCCTTCTTCATATTCATGTTTCTTGTTAAATGCTTTAAGTATGCTATTTGTGAGCTATGGATTTTGTAAGTTACCTATTGGTGAGAAGAGAACAGTATGTGTGTTGTAGAGACTTCAGATTTTGGAAATGTAAATTGCTGTATTTTACCTGAATTTACCTGAGGGCCACTAACACTTTAGTGACCTCAATGAGGACAGGAAGCTGGCAGCTTGTCAAAGGTCCCCCCTCCCCTACCATTTGCCCTGATGATCAGGAACAGTAAAGGAACTGTTTACTGTTATGGAACAGTAAACCTATCTTTACTGTTAAAGGGGTCTATACAATTAAAGAAATTGCTGACATAGAGACTATTTTGTTGACAAAGGCCAATGTTGAGTCACCACTTAATTAAAACAGTGTGACTTTTGTTGTTTATGATTAAATTTCTATAGATGTCTAAGAACTCATTTAAAATGGTATTGGAAAAACCTATATATTGCTCCAATAGTTATAGTAGAGGATTTGATGGTTTTAATTGATAATTAAGCAAAAATATATTCACAATAGTTGACCTTATTCTATGGATCTTGTAGTTCAGTGGCCAGTGCAGTTGGTACACAACTAAAAGGTCTTGGAGTCAATCCCCACTGGTTGACATGTGTAAGCATATTTCCTTTCACGCTTCTGTTAATCTAGCAGTAAATAGGTGCCTGGCAGTCAGGCAATTGTTGTTGATTACATCCAAGGTCAGTGGTTAGCCGAGGACCACCTCAACAAGCCTTAATGACTTGCTGTCCCCTGACAAAGGGAGACCAAATGACTTTAGTAGAGATGGTCATTTTAATATTAAATTGCCATACCACCACCTACTGCATTAGGTCCATAACAGTTTAACGTGTAGGTGTAATAGATGGTTAAAACAAACTTAAATTTGCAGCCTTTACCACTGGAATTTGTGAACAAAACAACGAGAATCTAAAACAAGTTTAGAAATTACTGAACCCCAAAACAGAGGAAGATTTCTATTCCTTAGCATTTATGTAGCTGCCTGCGAATGAAGACCAGATTACAGACAATGTCTAGCTAGTGGCAAACCTAATTAGAGAGTCAACTCTAAAAAACACCATATAAATTATATGTTGTATAAACTGACAGCTACAAGAACCGCAAAATACTTTTGCTGGAACTCGAGTCCTGCATTGTGTACCTCATTGACTGGCGATGAGGAGTGATGTCAAACGCATCGTAAAACTCTTCTGCGTCACTTTCAGATGACATTTTTACTTGTAACACCACTTCCTCTTACGTAAAGTTCCATTTAAATCCAGTTTAGTTGATCAATTTTGTCGACCAAGCCCACTGTACGTCAGCTGACGGTCGCCATTGTTGTTTACGCCTCGAGAACATACGGTGATTGGTCAACAACTTATGACGTCAGAGCCCGCTCTCATTCAGATTTCTAGGGAGAGGGGAATGGATGTATGGGGGGGAGGGGGGGGGCAGAGTACTTACCAATTACCAATCAGACCTTTTCTCTCCGTGACGAGAGGGGAGTGTGGTATAGTCCTTTATGATATGAATAGAGGCCTAATTGATTGTACCTGTTGCATTATACTTTAAGTATCTTTAGAGAGAGAGAGAGAGAGAGAGAGAGAGAGAGAGAGAGAGAGAGAGAGAGAGAGAGAGACAGACAGAGAGAGAGAGAGACAGAGAGAGAGAGAGACAGAGAGAGAGAGAGACAGACAGAGAGAGAGAGAGACAGAGAGACAGAGAGAGAGAGAGAGAGAGAGACAGAGAGAGAGAGAGAGAGAGAGAGAGAGAGAGAGAGAGAGAGAGAGAGAGAGAGAGAGAGAGAGAGAGACAGACAGACAGACAGACAGACAGACAGACAGACAGAGAGAGAGAGAGAGAGAGAGAGAGAGAGAGAGAGAGAGAGAGAGAGAGAGAGAGAGAGAGAGAGAGACACACACACACACACACACACACACACACACACACACACACACACAAACACACACACAGACAAGGGGCCGGTGGCTGAGGGGACAGCACGCTTGATACGTAGTCATGTGGACCGGGGTTCGACTCCTGGGGCCGTCAAAAACAAATGGGCAAAGTTTCTTTCACCCTAATGGCCCCTGTTACCTAGCAGTAAATAGGTACCTGAGAGTTAGTCAGCTGTTATGGGCTGCTTCCTGGGGGGGGGGGAATTAGTAGTTAGTAACAGTTGATTGACAGTTGAGAGGCAGGCCAAAAGAGCAGAGCTCAACCCCCACAAGCACAACTAGGTGAATACAGCTAAGTGAATACACAGACAGACAGACAGACAGACAGACAGACAGACAGACATAGTAATACTGTAGTAATATTATACAAAATGGTGTCACCTGCCAGATTGTTGGGTGTAATCAGTTGGTTCACATTTCACATCTGGTACAATCCAAACAAAAACATCTAAATATGAGTAGTTACTCTTTGAATCTATCCATAATCATTAGCATTAGTTCTATTGCATGTGTGTTCTTATAATTACATTACTGTAATACTACATCATTTTTAGTATCACACAGAAGCTTTAGTTGTCTTATAATTTATTTAAAATACTGTACTTTATCTTGAATAATAATATTAAATTTAATAATTTATTGTGTCGGGGGACAGGAAGCCAGAGTGTATTCATTCATGCTATGCTTATATCGAGGTCCCCCCCCCCACCAAGGTAGAATTACTGACCCCGCTCAGGATGCAACCCCACAAGCTGACTAACTCTTGAGTACCTACTTAGTGCTGGGTGAATAGACCATTAGGTGAAAGGAAATGTACCCACCCATTTCTGTCCCACCTGGGATTTGAACCCAGAATTCTCAATTGTGTATCAAGAACGAACCCGACTACAGTACTACCGGGACCCTTAAATATTAGGCACTGTATATCCAACTAGTTCTGCATATTAAGAACTTAGGTAGGTATTGGACAGCCAAGTATTATTATGAAGGCTTCCTTTAGCATTTTAAGTGTTTTACTTTTGTTATTATGTAGAACCAAGGTTAGTGCATAATAATCTATCAGAGATCTAATTACGGCATAGTCCAAAACATAATTTTTCGGTCCGTCTTTATATTGCTGTTGTAATCTGTGAAATCCAGTTAAGGTACATGGGATCAAGATAGTAAAGTACTGGAGAGATAAAATACCAGTATAATTAATGAATAAGTACAGTATGTTTTAAATTTTTAGTTTTGTTGGTCTTATATATATTACCAATTTGTCTGTTGACCAAATCTGCTGTACGGTGTAGATTAGTAATTGAGATGATAAGATCCCATCATCTCATGATGGGCCTTGGTGCATATAAGGAATATCATTGGTACTGTATAGTTAAATGTGGAAGTGTGAATTAAGACTACCTCTTGAGAAGTGCCTAGTTGTATTACTTTATTTTCTCTTTTGTAATGCTGAAATAATGCAAGAGACTTAATTTTATCATTTTGTATTCAGTGTAGCAGTTGACCATCTATGTAAATTTTTAGCAAATTCATGTGATATAACTTGTCTTTAGCCATATCAAAGATATTTTTCTAGTCAATAAATGTTGCACATTTGTGCCTTGTATCAACATGCAATTAGAAAAGTTGGGATACGATTTTATTTACTTACCATATGTGAAACCATTGACATCAAGGAACATATGCTCTAATTTCATGCAATAATCTATTAAACATCATTCTATCCACATATACACATAGTTATTGCGATGGAGCAAAAATCATATTACCTAGGCATTGGTATTTGTACCGTAAAACTGTTAGTGCATGAGACAGACTAGATGACAACTAGTGACAACTTGCACAATGCACTTTAAATACAGTAGTGTACTACTGTGTTCATGCTTTAGAAGTTTATCACAAGAGATACTGTCCTCACATGAGACAGTACTGCTGTCATTGTTGAGCACTGCATTCAGATCATTTTCAGTATAAAGAACACAGCATTCATCTAGGCATTTACCAAAATTTATTAAGAGTATTTCTATACAGTATGTGCATTTAAATGTAATTTATACTTGTACAAGATGGCAATATGTTGTACTTTAAAATAAAAGACCATTTTGTATTATATTTACTTTTCTGCAGCAGATTTGAACGAGATGCCTGTTTTTTTAATGTCAATAATTCACTAATAATTTTCCAGGCTTTGCTCAAAGAAATGTGCTTGGTGAGCCCACTAACACGATTTTTTCGATCAGTTTGTCTAAGATGAGGCAGTTTTTCCATCAATTTAGTAAGTGATAAGTGAGGCTTGAAAATTATTTATGTGCAAAGTGTTTGTAATGTTCATTTTTTGGTGACAACACAGAATAGTGACTAAATACATATTTAGTATAAGTTACAAAGTTGGATGATTCAGGAGGCTTGGTCGGGGACCGGGCCACAGGGACTTTGAGCCCCAAAATCATTGCAAGGTAAATCAAATCATCTCAAGGTATGAATAGTGCATCGACATTGTGACAAATTGAGTCATAGTGTGCTACTGTTGAATGCTGGTTGCAGTAGAGATCTGGTTGGCCAGTAATTCTTGATCACTTATGTAATGAGACTGACAATGCTGTGATTCTTAAGGCCTTACATTTGCGCTCACTTGACCTGTTTCCAAGCCCATGCCACTTGTAAATCAGCTGATGGGAAGGCTTGCCCAGTATCTGTTGGATGTTATTAGTAATGTAGTTTGTGGAATTTCTTGGATACATGTATTGATGTAATTAGTGTGTGGGACATTTGGGAACCTTTTAATATCTGTCATAGAATTTCTTCAAAAGCAAATTTCTTGAGGATAATTTAAGTACCTGTAGCTGCTTTAATGTGGTTTGCTACATACTCTTATAATAATTTATAATTCCTTGTGTCAGGGGAGACAAAGCCAGCGTGTATTCATACACGTTTGGCTTTTTATCAAGGTTCCCACGCAGGATTCGAACTTGGAATTCTCAATTGTGCGTCAAGAACAAACCTCATTTTACTACCGGGACCCTTTATTTTTAAGTTTCTTACAACTTTTCTATCTGTCTAATTTATTATTTACCAAAAGTTCCATTATTAATTACCATTTAGTATTATTGTATTGTAGTATTAATTCTGTTTGACTTATTGAAACCATTTAATCTTAAATTTTAGTTGTCTTGTTAATAATTGTACTGAGATGGTAGACAGGTAAAAAGAATTAACTGGCGTGCCTTTGTGAGAAAAAAGAGAAGAGGAAGTTCAGGATGAAGATAGGTAGAAAACATGTTACATGTGTGTGAGAGAGGAAGCAGAAAGTTTGTGTGAGCAATGCATAGGATGTGGTAAGGAGCAAAACTTTGGAGAGGAAGTTTAAGAGTGAATGTATTTGACTGTACACTGTATATGGCAATTCATGAGCAGTACTGTACACCTGGCTTTATAAAGCAGTGGGGGGTGTTTCCGTAGATTAGTACTGGAGTCTGGTAGGGTTTGTTTTTCCAGGATATTAGTCGGTATAATATAAATGACCTAGTGAATGTGGGGTAGTAATTTTCGTTTGTAATACAGTATACATAACTTTCTTTCATTACATAGGTCATCTTTTTTTCCAGGCTGATATCTTTCCACCCATAATGGTTGAAAAAGGGGTTAATGATAATCAGGATGATGTTAGTATTGAAAAAATCTCATTTATAATTAAAAGATCACTGAATTTTTGTACATTTTCAGGCTCATAGTTTTGATTCCAGTTAGCAATGAAGTTAGTTTATTGTTCCTTTTTTCACTGCTAACCTTCAACTATTTAGTCTGGCACCAGGCAAATCAACATTAGCTAAATGTAAAACAACTGTTATTACTAAATGGTCAGATTAGATTACCTAGTCTCCAAGCCTTGAGTTTTGTATGATATGTTAAGGTCAGTATATCTATGAAGTACTACTCATCAGTTGATTCTTACTGATAATTTGGACATCACATGTATTGATAAATGTGAACATTCTTCGATCACTAGTGTTTGTGGTGGGGTCTTCTAATGTTTTGTGTCTGCCTGATGCCATGCTACTGAAACCTATTACATTTTTGGGAGGATAGAGGCCATGTGGAAGTAATTTGTTAACATACATTAGACAAGTGTTTACTGAACTGGGGTTATAACATGAAAAGCTGAGTAACTTATATAACAGTTTACTAGTAGACAAACAGCATCAGTGGCCCTGTCATAACTTTGAGATGGAGGTCAGAATACAATTTTCTATTGAAATAATGTTCCAATTAGGTATCTTGATGTCACTATTCATTTGTACAGTATTGTAATTACCCATTATTCAGTACCTTCTAGAGTGCTTGACTAATTTTCATGGATTTTATCACTCTACTGGAATGTAAAATTTCATGATGATTTTCTTCATGAAAGTGATTATCAAAGAAGGCACCAAACTGGGAAGAACTTTTTTTTTCAATAAATTTCATATTCATTGGACACAGCTTAAAGTCATCCATTATGTCTAGCCATTGCTCTGGTATTAAATCAAGTAACTGCCTTGCACTTGTGCATCATGGTCAACTGCTAGTTTTTTATTTTTAATTAGTACCACAAGCATCATTGTTACCATCTTCATTTTCATCTCTTTCCCTTCTTTTGCCTCCAATAAAATTCTCCATAACTTTACAAGGTCCACTGTCAATATCATCATTACCACTACCCCTACGCTTGTCTCCATTTTGATGCCTTACCATTAGTATTTACATTTTTTACACTGATATCACAATTATCACTCAACTCATCACTTCTTTTATAATTCCTGCATTCACCCTCAAGCATTTTTCCAACCATAACCATAATAACTGTCATTATGGAAATTATTTCCTGATGATCATGATCATGAGCAAGAGGCTCCCAGGTGGGGTGTGAGGAAAGGTGCATATACATAACTAACATTCTCCTAAGTTAAGATTGGGGACTGATCATATTGCTATTTTATGGCAACATTCACTTGTTTTGCACCATCATTTATGCACTGAATTGTTCATGGTATTATTTTCTTTTTCAACTACATTATTTAAATAAATTGCTTTACTCTATTTTACATGTCAATGAAATATGGAATGATCTTTAAGTCACTAATACTTACAGCTGGACCATGGGGGTATAAAAGCAGGCATATGTTCCTGCATGCATCCACACTTCTCTATGCTCTGCTGGTGGCTATACCTGTGTACTTTTGTAATTTGGTGGGGAGGAGTGGGTACTCTTCCCTATCAAATGGAGCAAGGAAGTATGGCCCTGGCAGATGTTGGCAATTACCAGGATTGTTTATATCCAAGCTAAATAGCCATGTTGATTTACTTATCAAGGATCTTCTGAGCTGCCTCAATGTGAGGCTTCAAAGTAGTTGTACTAACAGCTATTCTCAGGAACCTATGAGCGAGAAGCTCCTTGGCAGATGCACGCTTTTCAATGTCAACTTCAAGACAGCAATTTAAAAAATCCTGTAAAATATCTTAGGTAAGCCACAAATCAAATTATTACATAGTTAAACTGGTGATTGATGAATCAATATGTGTAACCTTTAGATCAGAAGATCCTCATGGAGTGGATATGGTATAATTATAAAGTAAAAAATCTGTAGAAGGAAAAGATTGATGAAAGTTTGGGATCACATGATACTCATTTGGAATATATTCAATATCATTATTAAAAATATGTTAATTCCCCCTAAGGAACAATGGAATAAATGTAGTGTTTACCATAATGAATGTTGCATGTGCAATCATCTAGATATTCTTACTGCATACTAGAACTTGCTCTAAACACGATATTAAACACGCACAATAACAATATAATATCCTTTAATATATTAAAAATAAATATATTTAATTTTTAATACAATATATTAAAGAAATTTTATTTTTAACTATTTAATCTTTATTGTACTTAAAGCTTTAATTATACTTCACATTATCATCTGCCTCTGCAATCTCCAGTGGGAATTTACTCTCACACACACAAAATTAGAAGAAAGGAGAAAAAGAAACAATATGATCACTATGAATAAAAATAGTTCTGGAAATTGATAAAATTGCTAAGAAGAATTCTTGAAACCTAGAACCTCAAGAACAAGAGGTCATAGATTTAAGCTAACTAAACAAGCTGTTGAAAAAGCATTAGAAAGTTCACGTTTGCAAACAGAGTGGCAGACGGTTAGAACAAGTTAAGTGAAAAGGTGACGGAGACCAAAACAGTCGGTAGTTTCAATGCGTTATATGACAAAGAGTGCTGGGAAGACGGGACACCACGAGTGTAGCTCTCATCCTGTAACTACACTTAAGTAATTACACACACACCCAACTCACTCCCACACTCACTATTTAGCAGTCTATTTGAAGCTGAGCATAGCTTAAACAAGAAATTATGAGTGAAGATGAGCTTCCACAGTTTATTCCAAGCTGGACTGAGTAATATGCCCCAGTTTCTCCCTTTCCCCCATTAATATCCCAGTAGGGGAGGATTGAAAAGATATACTGTATGCTGAGTCAGGTATAAGAAGGCTGAACTGGCCTGGTTCAAAATTTGCCATGTCCCTGTGAGAGCGGGACAATGCCTAATGGTGTAACCAAGTGGGTTCAGCTCATAAAATAGTCTAAAACATAATATATAAAAAACTCATACCTGAAAATCGGGAGACAATTTGTTCCATGAAGGAATGTCCGGCTTTCCATTCAATGCAATTAGATAGAGAGCACGGAGTGGTGATTCCTTTAGATATGGAGGTTCCCCTTCAATCATCTCAATGGCCATAATGCCTAAAGACCAAATATCAACCTTCTTTCCATAATGTTTACGATTCACAACCTAAAAAATCAAAAGATAAATGTAATGCCTTTTTCTGGTGGGCCCCTCAGAAACTTCTTTTGCCTATAGTGGCTCTGAAAGGCTGCCAAGGCTTTGGGAATCGCACCAAGTCTCTAAGACCCATCCAATCTACCAGGAGTTAGGACCTGAATCTGGCTCTCTCTACAAGGTAAATGGAGCTTGGGAATCAGAGATCAATCCAAAGCTGAGAAAGAAAGTATAAGTATACCAAAAAAAGCAAATGCTTGAAAAAATTTGTAACCTTGAGAAAAACACAATCAATCATTGCCACTTGACAACCAAAGCCAGAAAAATCCAGTGTATATTTGGCACTAAACCAAATGCTCAACATCCTTCTCATAAGACAATAAGAGGTCAGCACTCACACCATCTGGCCCAGAGACTGCAGAAGCTGGAACTGCAAGGTACAATACTATAACATGGCCACAGCCTGACACACTGCAGCTCAACAAAACAGCTCTGTGAAAATTATAACCTAATGCCATCAAATAGCACACCCCCAAAGTGAAAGGGCTCCTCATCCCAACTGAGAGAGAAAGACAAAGGTTGGAAGATTGACTTTCAGCAACCAAAAGCACTAAACTGGTCCTTAAAAACCAGGGTTGAATGTAATGAAATGCCCTTTTCTGGGTGAGTCCCAGAGGCTTTCCAGAGCTTACCAGGCTGATATGTATGTATTAGACCATGGCATCAATCAATTCGATTGGAGTTCTTGCCTACCAGGGACCATGAGCCAGAACCTGGCCCCCCTCAGAGAGGCACGAGGAGCAATGGCCTATAGAAACCCCCGTGTGGTTGGTAGCATTCCACGTCTGCCATCGACCAGATTAGGCACTCGGAAAGGTAGGCATCCCAAAGCAAACTCCACCCAGTTAAAAATTGCTACCGAAAGCCAAACTATCAAATAGATCTCCACAATCTGAAAACAAGTAAACAAGCATGACGTCACAATCACTGTCACACCGCTGTCTGTGCAGCTACCCCCTCCTGGGAGGGGGAAGGGGTGAAGTAGTTGGAGTAAATCGTGAGTAGTAGTCCAGATGACCTGGACTACCATCTGATGGCAGTCAAGTGCATTATGGCTGGGAGTGGTTATCCTGCTGCAGCGATGGTTTGCCTTGTTTTCCCTCAGGTTACAAATTTCATTTCAAGCAGTTGCTTGTTTTGATTCTCTTTTACACTTTTTTTCTGGTTGATTCCTGATTCCAAGGCTCTTCTTGCCTCATAGAGCACACCAGATTCTGATCTTGGCTCTCAGTAGGCTCAAGTGAGTCTAAATAGGCCTGGTGCAACTTCTTAAGGCTTGGCAACCCTACTGCTATAGATTGGGGAGCTACTGAAAGGGCCCTCTCAGAAATATAAAATATTGCTTTTTATACTGAATATACAGCACAAGATACTTCAGTTATTTTATTATATAATAGACAGGATATTTAACAATGTACAATAAATTCAAAATACTAATTTCTTCTTGCAAATTTTGTTATGATTATCATACCTAAACAAAAAAATATTATTATTTCTGAATATACAATGTAAAAAAAATTAGTTTATAATGTAAGTGATTTATTCCTTTGTTAACTGTTTTATCAAAAGACAGGATGTAATTTTCAGGCTTACCTCTGGAGCCATCCAATATGGAGTGCCAACCATAGTCTGGCGCTTCTCATCCCCAGTGATGTTAGCACAGAACCCAAAATCAGTCAGTTTAACAGATCCATCTTTGCCAAGGAGCACATTATCTGACTTGATATCTCGATGTATTACCCCCTACAAAATTTCAGTGATACAAATAATGAGTAACATAAAACATAAAATCACTAGCAATGTTAACTAGGTATTGGTCATTATTCAGGGCTGTTGAGGAGTTGACCCTATACATACTCTATCCCCATCTATAAGAATTCTCATCCACTATTCCCAGCTGCAAGTATCCTCCTCCTCTAAAGAAAATCTATAATCAACATACGTTTTCATGAAGATAGTCGATGGCACGTAAAGTATGATGGCATACAGCTGCAATTTGAGGTTCTTTGATTACAGTTTCAGTTACAATATCAGTCAGGGGCCCGCCATCCAACAGCTCCATGACAACCTAGAAGTAGAAGATTAAATATTAAGTGTTCTGGATTATTTTTCTATCAATGAATGAAAGAAGATTGCAGATACAGTATATATACTGGAAACAGCTCAAATTTGTACATTTTCAAAAACAAGTTCTCGCTACCAGGAACAATATATGTATTTATTAATATTTTCATAGAAATCACAAAAATAAAGCCTTGAATGTAATGAAATATCCTTTTCTAGTGGAGCCTTCAGGTGCTTCTCTGTACTAAGCACTGATTAAGCCATGCCTTAGAGAAAAAAAACAGCATTGAATGTAATGAATCACCAATTTCTGTGTGAGCCCCAGTGGTTCTCTGATTCCCTCCCTCCCTCAGGTAGTCGGGTCACTTTGCATCATTCATTGAACTGACAATGGAGTGGCTTGTAGGCAGTATCCTGCCCCTACCTTCCCCCAAACGATTGGAAGGGTGGAGTGAAAGAGCTGGCGCTAGATTCATGACATTATCGATCATTTGTTTGCATTGCTATGGTCGTTCTCAAGGGTGCAAGTCTTGGTGACAGCCAGCAGTAGTTTGCTGTGACTCTGACTTTCTGGGTACCTTCTTCGGTGGTGGCATAAATGAATAACTTAATACAGTACATACTGTATATAAATGCCATGGCTCTTTGTGCCTCTTTGAGGTTCTGGTTCTGGGTCTCCAGTAGGGCATAGACTTCCGTGACTGATGGCACCTACATCGGAGATAGTAGCTTCAGGGAGCCACAAGGAGCTTCACCCAGAAGGCAAGCCTCTGAGATCCACCCTAACTAACTGCAAGCCAGGACCACAATCAGACTCACTCTATGAAGTGAGGAAAACTTGGGGATCAGGGATCTACCCAAAAGTGAGAAAAATTTCCCCAGAAAGCACAACATTCCAGGGGATACCTAACACCACTTGGCTTAAGTGTGACATATTAGGATGGGGCCCAAGCAAGGGGCATGGGCACCCTATACAAGACCATGTGAGTGAGTTACGGTGCAGGCTGGTGGAGACCCCAAGGTGGCCTGGACTGCAATCTGGTGTTAAGCGAGGTACAACAGGATCAGCATGTTTACATCACGGAAACAATCGTTTGCAATCGTTACCTTTGGGTAACTATTTTTCATCATGCAGTTGCTTGTTTTGTTATGTTTATGCTTATGCTTTATGGCAGGAATTAGAACTCAGTTTTGATGTAGATCTCTGATCCTCCAGCTCCCCACTTGCCTCATCAATGTAACCAAGTTCTGGTCCTGGTAGGCAAGGGTGGGTCTCAGACCTAGTTCCTTTCTCTAAGGCATGGCTTGATTGGTGTTTAGTTTCGGGGAGCTTCTGAGGGCTTCCCTCCCAAAAAGATATACTAAATATCCAATTTTATAAGAACAAAACAATTTATACCTTAAAAGAGCAACCCAGCCTCCTGTTTAGATAGTACTTTTTTCAACTACGTGGACCATCATACATATACTGACATAATGAACAATGAGCTAATAGAATTTGGTACTATTCCCTTTATAGTCTAGAAAAAATATAGCTAAATCCAAACTTAAATATTTGTGTTCCTAGGATGGTTAAGTTAGGTTAGGTTACATTTTATTAACAAAATAAATAAATAAAACTTTTCTGGTTGCCCAAATTCAATAGTATTGTACTAAATTCTACTTTCTAACTGTCCATTACAGTACATCAATATATGTATGATGCTCCACATTGTTACTATAAATACAGTACTATCTAAATAGGAGGATGGGCTGAAGAGAGTTTCATATCTTACCCACAGATGATTGTTAAGTAAAAACACGTCAAGGAAGTTAACAAGATTTTCATGCTGGAGATTTTTCATTACATTTATTTCTGTTAAAATTAATTCCTTTTTGGGTTGCTTGCTAAGATCAATGTCTTTAACTGCAACTTTATGACGTGTAGTTTTCTCATAAGCTCTGAACACTGTTCCAGATGCCCTAAAGAATAAATGCATGTTATTATTAAATTTGAAGAGCAGAATATGTTTTCAAGGACAAATAATAACACAAACCCTCCCCCCACACATGAGAAGTTGACATAATAGCACTGGAGATCTGTAATCAGGATGATAAGCTAATAATCATAAATACATAGTATAGTCCACTGCCATGCATTTAGGAACAAGGTTTTGTGCATGTAAGTGGCACATGAGAACTGCCAAGGAACTACCAAGGTCCAACTTTGATAGCTCAATTTACTTGGCAACCTCAATTTACTCACCACAGTGCTAGCGGTGATAGGAGATAACTGGAGCTTCTTCCCAACATTACGAGCCAAACAACACAAGGCCTAGGAAGCCAGTTAGGTAGGGCCCACAAAGATATGGGTCAAGACCCCAACATACAGTAAGTGGAAGAAACCAGCAGTTTAATTAAAAGAGCAGAAAAGAGACCACAGAAGAAACGACAAGGAAACCAGTGCTTACACTAGAGAGTGCACGTTCCACAGGCAGAGAAGACAAGAAAACTACACAGAGGTCCCAGGGTCCAATAACCTGGACCTCTAGACACAAATCTTCCAGAACCCAGAATGCATCTAATAAAAAATAATGAGAGAACCAAAGCACCCTTCCAGACACCCCCAAGCCCAAAACAGGAACACAAGCAACAGACTCAGGAAATGGATCTGGAAATGACTTAGGGGTCCTTGCTTAGAAAATAATATGTAATACTGTAATTATATTGGCCTGTATCTCAGAAAGTGATATGCCAAAGTTGAAAGTTAATGCCATTAGAGTTTATATATATTATACTACAGTGGAACCTCGAATAACGACTTTAATCCGTTCCGGCGCCGTGGTCATCATGTGAAACGGACGTCATTCAAAATGAAGTTCCCGATTGAAAAGAATGTAAATAAAATAATCCGCTCTACCACTGAAAAACATCAATATGATATTCAATGTTTTAAATAATGGAGCAGCCTACCTTACATACACTGAACAAACTTTTATGACATTTTTCTTTCTTCAAATTTGTTCAATTTTTTTTTTTCATTTTTTGTATAGCAAAAGGTTCGTTCAATGTTTGTCAGGTAGGCTGTGCCATGTTTCTTAAAAAAAAAAGAAATAAAAAAATGAAAAAAATTAAGAATTTTGAAAAACAGAACAAATGTCAAAAAGGTTCGTTCGGTGTTCAGCAGGTGCTCCATGTTTCTTAATAAAAAAAAAAAAAAAAAAAAAATTAATGGAAACAATTTGAAAAATGGACAAATGCCATAAAGGTTCATTCAGTGTTTGTCGGGTAGGCTGCTCCATTATGACAATCTTTGTGTTTCAAATGTATTCCATTTGTTTTGTATTTTTCATTTATTTCCCAATAATGGAGCAGCCTACCCGACATACACTGAGCGAACCTTAATGGCATTTGTCCGTTTTTCAAATTGTTTCAACTGTTTTTTTCATTTTTCGTTTTTATTTTATTTAAGAAACATGAAGCAGCCTACCTGCCGAACACCGAACGAACTTTTTTGACATTTATTCTGTTTTTCAAAATTCTTCATTTTTTTTCTTTTTTTTAAGAAACATGGAGCAGCCTACTTGACAAACACCGAATGAACCTTTATGACATTTGTTCTTTCTTTAAAAAAATTCATTTCGTTTTTCTACAAAAAAGTCAATGCTTTACAACATCCCAGCATCAACAGCATCTTTAAACAAAGAAAAATAATTTATTTGCATCGTCGGAGACGTCCGAGAATGTGCGAGAAGCAGCCCGCGACCCCACCATGTGGTGTTGACGTTATTCAAACGAGTGGTTGCCTAACAAGACGAATTGTTGGCAATCGGGGCGTTCGTTACCCAAATTGGTCGCCATTTGAGGCGGTCATCACTCGAGGTTCTACTGTATTATAATTACTGACATTTCATTGTTATAAAGATATGACCATAAAAAATAATATAAAAGCACCATGTGTACCTTAGCAAAAGCCTGTGCTAGATATTTTTTATATCTCTACCAGGAATACCTGACTTAAAACTACAATAATGTACAGTACAGGTATATGACATTTTTTAAATGTTCACAAAGTTCAGGCACACATATACTGTATAATGATGTCAGTAAAACTGTTACACATACCCTGAACCTAATTCTATATCACGCTCGTACAGTAACTCTGGATTTCTTGAAGAACAAATTCGTCGAAACTCCATCATTACTTCCTCGTCACTCAATTTCTGGCCAGCTTTCCTCCGCATCTGTTACAAAACAAGGTTTGAACAATAATGAATGTTTCCCTATACCGTACTGTACAATGAAAGGAGACTACCATTCCTATTACTATATTATTACCTAGTCTGAAAAAGGATCAACTTGCTCTCTCTCTCTCATTAGGCATAAAAAAAAGCTGAATAGTACAGTACATATATGGTATACAACCAAGAACATTATGTTAAAATTCATTTACTAACACATCAATGATATGAGTGGCCCTCACATGAACCTATGATGCTCATTTCATATTAGAAAGGGGGGTTGAACAAGCACAGCTTTTATCTCTGAATATAAAGTGTAAATACAAAACATCCCTTCAATATGTTAGTAACAAAAGTGTTCATGTGTTGGAAAAGGCCTTATCAAGAAGCAAAAATAAAAGGAAGCATGAAGTGTTGACTACTGAACAGAGATAAAGCAATGTGTGTGTAATGAAAAGTTTTTCCGAGTTGTACGGCAGTGGCTCCCATTGTCCTACATTAATGGCATCTGTAGAACACTATGACAATGCCAGTCTTCCAGTGGTAATCTTTTCAGACCAGAGTGAGTAAGCCCTCCCACAGCTCAGCTATAGTGGACCTACTGAAAGGGGCCTCCCAAAAAAACTAATTTCTTTTTAATCGTACCACTGGAAAGAGCAAGTAATTTTCTTTATAGAACTGTAAAGACAAAAATTTAAATAACATGTTCCTTTTTTAGTCTAATTCAAACCCAAGAAAAGTACTGCATGGGACCAAGACATTAGTGCCATAGCCAAAGAGTCAAGGTGATGGATGCGAGTCTTAATAAATTTTTGACACTGTGGGTTCTTAAACAAGACAAACAATACTGTACACTGCTCTCCTGGTAAGGTGAGTAAAACTTTGACAGTGCGCTAGACTGTTTCATTTTATGTGGTACATGAATTTTTTTGTTGTAGTATACAGTATGTTATTTTGACCTTGCATTACTAAAAGTGTGTCCGCCAAACTGTGCTTGCAGAGGTTGAGCTTTCGTTCAGCCAGAGAACAAATGAAAAACTGTATATTCAGTATGTACAAAGGTTGCATGCTAAGGCTAACCCAAAACAGCAGAAAGATAACTAAAAACATAAGAGTTTAGTCAAACTGTACAATGTTTTCTGTGATAAGAATATTAATTACCTGTACAGGGCTCTGGCCAGCCTTCAGTTTAGGATGTTCATCTTGGTAGTCAAATGGTCTTGAAATCTCTACCTCTTGTGGTTCTTGGCTGTTGGTTTCAAGCTGAAGAAGAGCAGTTGTATACAAGAATTCTTTAATATACAAATGCACTAACATGAAGAAGCACAAATGCACACCTCATCAGCAGAAAATAGTAAGAAGGCTTTGATCTACAGTATCTGCCTTTCTGAGGGGTCCAGGTTCTGGCTCGTGGTCCCCGGTCAGCTAGAACTTCAATCGAATTGAGTGATGCCACGGTCTAATACATACATATCAGCCCAGTAGAGCTCTAGGGGGACTGGAAGAGCCCTCCACAGAAAAAGAGTTGGCTCTTACTTTATATTTCTTTTTCTTGAAGAATTTAACGGAAAATGTTCCTAAATAATATAGTTGAATAAAGAAAATACCAAAAATGGTTTCGAACTTAATATTTGTATTAAATATTTTTGGATGCGACAATACCAAGGGAACTATAAGGAGAAAGCACCAAGTCATTATGACTATATAGCACTTGGATAAGGGTCAGGGGGGGGGGGGGGTTGGAGGAATGGTGCCCAACCACTTGGATGGTCAGGAATTGAACACAGACATGCATGAAGCGAGACCGTTCTTCTACCATCAAGTCCAAATGGTTGAGCACCATTCCTTTCCCAAAAAACTTCTAATTAATGACTTTTTTTATGTACACTAACAAGATTCATAATTTTATTTGGTAATAATTACCAGATAAATGTCAACTCATGGTAATTATAGGAATATATTGACAGAATCCAATTTTCATAAATTTAAATAGTGATAAACATCAGTTGAAGTAAGCCATCATCTAAGGATTAAACAAGTTCTTTAGTGGATTTCATTAGAAAGGTTTGTTGTTCAGAGGACCCTACAAAGAGTCTTGGTGTTGCAAAAGCTAGACTTCCCCTGAGAATTAAAACCAAAGTGTATGCATCTTGCCAGGTCATTATAAAGTCTATTTCTCTTAATAAATTAATGTAATTACATACCTTAATGCACTTCATTGTGCTTGCTTGGGTTTAGCTTTGGCTCACTGGACCCACCTCACAACTTTCAGTCAACTGGTGTACAGGTTTACAAGCCTACTGGTATCTATCATATCTACATTTGAAACTGCCATCACCACTTCACTTCTTAATGCATTTGATTTCTTCACTTCTCTGACACTGAAAAAAATTCTTTCTAATATCTCTGTGGCCCATTTTGGTACTCAATTTCCACCTGTATTCTTTTGTTTGTGTTTTACTCATCTCATGAAATCTGTCATTCTATCACTTCCCTGAGAACTTTGTATATTGTAATCATGTCTCATATAACCTTTCTGTCTTCCAGTGACATGAAATTTAATATCATTAATCCTTCTTTGTAACTAATACTCTCTCAATTCTGAATCTAGTTTGGTGGTATATCTATGAATATTCTCTGACTTTGTTTTGTGTTCGACAAGTTAGGAATCCAAGCAGGCACTGCATATTCCACGATTGGTCTGATATATGTAATACACAAGGTCCTGAATGAGTCCTTATTAATAGCTCTAAAGGCAGCTTTTATGTTGCCCAACCTAGCATGCACCACTGATGATGAGTGAGCATCATGTTTTTATAAATAATATGGTAATAAGATAAAGGTACTGAGACACACACAAAGGCATCAATATAATAATAATAGAAAATTGCCACAGTGATACAATGAAAATCAAATAGACAGGCATAGAGACAGTCAGAGAATAACAAACAAAAACACAGACCTAGACATACAGATACAAACTTAGAAACATTGTCTTATACTATTGGGCTTAGTATATTATCTTATACTATTCAAAGGCACACTCTTTCTCTTCCTGTGAATGACTGGTGGTAGGAACTAGGAAGGGAAGAAATGCCATTGACAGATGGATCATTAAGACTGTATGGGTGTTTGTGCTTAAATAAGTCAGAGATCATAACTCAGGAACCCCCTTTGAAATTTTAACGCATGAAACATATATAAAGTAAGATCAATTTTACTTACGTCTTCAGTAGGTACTTTTTCCTTAATTACTTCTCCAAAATCATTGTCTGAAAATTAAAAAAATAGTATATTCAATTAAATTACAGGCAGGAAGGAGCTCCCATATAATACAAATAATGACTGCTAAGTTATTCAAAATTCATACCAAAATTAAAATAAAATCAAAATAAGATCTAAATGCTTATACACAAGGAAATCACAATACTGTAGCATGATATATCAATGAGAAAATCACTGGAGCAGAGCAGGGATTGAACCAGCATCTTGGTGAATGCCAGATATATGCCATACCCTTTGCAGAAAATATTTATTACCATAACTTCTAATTATAAAATATTAAAATATATCTTAATGAGAGATACTCTCTGTTCAGGTGTAACAAATTAATACGTAATTTATAAGTGTGTAGTTAAGCAGAGTGATGCCATTACACAGGCCAGCAAAAAAAAAAAAAAAGTATATTCATTAAATTTAACACTTCATTTTTCGTATTAACACTTTCGGCGACACTTAATTCTGTCAGCAACAGATGACAGCGGTTAATGGGTTCTGGTACTCGTTTTGAAGGTCAGAGGATCTGGTCAAACATTACATAATTTAGAGAGAAAAAAATTCTTGAAATATGAAGTGTCTTATATCCTATTGAATTTTTGGCCCATTTTCAAAGATTAGCCATTTCACAATAGCTAATTTTTAGCAGCAAAGGGGTTCATTGGACCAGCCTCTGCAAAGTTGGAATTTTTCCATTAGGCTAAATATGAGCAAATGGCTCCTCTGACTGCTATGAAACTGGTGGTATTACCTGGTGGTGGGTAGTTCAGTAATTAGTTGTTAGCAAGAAGACAATTGGCTGTCCATGTGATCTCAATTATTGTTTGAAAAGAGTGTTGAGTGGTTTGTCTCAGTTGTTTTGCATGATGGCAAGCAGTTCCACAAGTGGTAGATTATGAAAGCTATTCTCTGTCTTCTCTCCAAATTACATAACAAGACTACTTAAAAAGTTCCTTATCATGGCATGGAAGAAGTTAACAAGGGTTGTCATTTTTGCAGTGTTATGGGTGGACTCTGGCTGATGACTCAGAGAGAAGCCGAGACAAACTTACACAGAAGATTTGATGAAAATGTTTTGTTTCAAAAGCTTCATAAATTGATGACAAATTGAATAAGTATGTATGTGGCTGAAACAATCTCCAATACCCATATGGGATATGGTGATGAAATCTCCACACTGCAGACTTTACCATCTTCACCAATAACTTAAAGAATGAAACCAAAGCTAGAATTTACAAAAACAATTATTTCCAGGCATCAGAGAGGGTAGTAATGTCACTATTTTTCTGTTAAAATAAACTATTAGTATGCCTTCAAAATGTTATGATTAAGAGGTAAAGCAAGACTATCTCACTGCAACAGACAACTGTACATGTTAAATCATCAGGAAGGATTTGTTGCAAAAGCCATCACAGTCCTGAACTCTTAAAACAGCAAAGGGAAACTCGTATATCTCCTAAATGTAGGAGCATGAATGTAGTAACCAAGACTCTTAACATGTTCCTATGTTATCTGGTCTGGTTTTTATGTCAAAGTAAAAATGGAATAAAAAGCAATAAATAAATTAAAAAAACATACCACTTTCACTTATTAGTTCCTCAGCTTCCAAAACCTCTTGAACAGGTGACGGGATAAACTTTGGTTCACCCTTCTGTTTCAACATGGATGCATTCCAGAACATAACTGCTGAGAGGGCAGCTTCAGGATTATTCTGTACTTCATCTTTTCTAAAAGATAAAAACATTAAATTATATGAGGGTTTCTGAAATATCCATCGGTGGGTATAAGTATAGAGAGGGTACTGTAAATCCCCTTCAACCTAACTTACTCAGACATAGATACAGCAGAACAAATTTAATTCAAAGTTTAAAAAACAAAGTACATACAGTATAAAGTTTGAAATAAATTTCTAAGTATGAAGTTTAAAAAAAAAAAACTTATTTTCAGCTTATGTTGAATCAAAACAAATCAATATTTCAATACAATTAAGGTGCTTCAAAGGTAAGCTTGATTATGTCATGAAAAATTTTTTTATCCACTTTCCACTTTGCACATACAGTATCAGAAGTTCCCTTTTACTGTCCAATACCTAATAACTGCTATCAACATTTATATACCTTTTAAATTTAACATACCATATTGTGATCACACCTCACAAGGATACAAGAGGTGAAAAAATAAAGTAGAGTAATTGAAAAAGAAACTTGGTTGATCAGCATAAGAGAAGAATTAAAAATTTTCATGAAGCAAATAATAATCTACTGTAATAAAAAAAAAAAATTATGTCCTGAAAACTGAAGTAAAAATTTCCAGAAACAATAGTTTAACATACCCAATAGTATTTTCAATATAATTTTTCCATGCTGGAGGAATGCCTTCAAAGGACTGTGTATTTTTATTGAAGACCACGTGAATGTCGTGTTTAACGACTGTTGGGGAAGATATTGCCATAACCTTGTCAGGTACATCCACATTGTGTTTGGTTGGGAAATACTTGTTGAATACTTTGAATTTTTTCATGTTTGTCCTGTGAAAATAAATAATCTAATAAATAAAGGTAGTCAATTATTTAAACATTACAGTAGGTACAAAATTATTATAATCAGGCAAAATACAGTGAAACCTCAGTTGACGACTGTCCCTTTTTACAAATTTTTCGGGTTACGATCTCAATTTCTTCATAAAATTCAACTCGGTTGGCGATCTTTACCTTGCTTTGCGACGAGTTTGTTGATACTGTACATGTATGGGTCAACTGAGCCATGGTTCCTGGCACAGGCGAGGCATGCTTTAGTTTACTAGTGCCTCACGCCTAGTGACAATCGTGCTTAAATTTTTTGTAAAGTATTTAATTGTTTTTCTGCCTTTTTGGTTTTTGAACATAAAATTATTATACATCATGCCATGGGTCCCAAGAAAGTCAGTGGTAAGGTTCAACCTAAGAAAATAGTTGTGAGTAGAGGCAGTAGAGGATGTCCCTTCTTCATTAAGAAAATGTGTGAAGTATGGAAAGAGCTGCAAAGTTTTGCTGAAAAGACTCGCCCAGAAAAACCTGAAGCAGGCCGTTGCATTGACCTTTTTAATGATAATGTGATGTCTTACTACAGACAAGTGATAAAATGTAGGGAAAAACAAGTCTCTATGGAAATGTTCTTCGCAAGACAAACAAGCAGTGAGCCACAACTAGGTCCTAGTGGTTATGCCTGTAAAACCTAGGAAAGTACCCCAGAGAAGTCATCAATGCCTGATATTATAATGGAAGGAGACTCCTCCTCCCCCCTCCTCACTGTCTTCCATATGCCAACAAGAGTCATAAAGAAAGGTAAGATATAATTTGTACATTCTGTAGTACAAAATATTTGTAGTACTGTATTATATATGAAATGTATTTTGAAGCTAATATTTTTAGGAGTGTAGAATGGATTAATTCAATTTAAATTTTTTCTTATGGGAAAATTTGTTTCTGTTTGCAAATTTTCGGTTAACGACCTGTCTGGGAATGGATTAAATTAAAAAACGAAGGTACCACTGTATATGAAAATTACCTTTACTATATTTTTAAATTTATTTATACAATACTGTGCAAAATCTTAGCCTAATTACTAGTTGTAAAAATAATCTAAATACATTTTAGATTTGTACCTACTGATTCAGAATTTGTATCAGTCAAATTAATGTACTGTACAGTACTGTTATATATATGAAGGTACAATAGTAATATTTATGGCATAAATTTATAAAACCAAAGTAGATAAGCATCATCTGATTTTGACAGATTGACAAGTTACTATACTTGGGAAGGGTAGCGTGGGCAGACATGAACACGAGAGGTGGGCTATTCCAGGAGTGTGATATGACCCCAGTGGTAGCTGACTTTGATACTGGAATACGATGTAGATGCAAGTTGGATTCGTTCTCAACTCACAATCAGGAATTCTGCGTTCGAGTCCAGGTCGGAACAGAAATGGTTGGAAGCATTTCAAATCACCTGTTCACATAGTAGTCAATAGGTACCCCAGAGTTAGTCAACTTCTTGTGAGGTTGCATCCTGGGGATGGTCAGTAGTTTGACCTTGGGGGGGGGGGAACCTCAATATAATCCTAATACGTATAATTCACAATTCATTGTCGGGGGACAGGCAGTCAGTTTATACAGTACTGTACATGTTTGGTTTATATCGAGGTCGTCCCCCCTCAGGGTCGAATTACTGACCCTCCCCAGGATGCATCCCCACAACACGCTGGCTAACTCCTGAGTACCTATTTACAGCTAGGTGAGCAGGAGCATTCAGTGATAGGAAATGCACTTAACCATCTCTGTCCCATCCAAGATTCAAACCTGGAATTCATGTTTGTGAGTCGCGAACAATACTACAGGGACTGCCTGGCTGCCTGTCCCCCTAACAGGCAGGAATTACTTAATATACAGTACATAGTTTTAACAATGTGACAGTAGCTTGTCAAAACGTCTGTGTAAAATTTGAGCACATCTCTTCTCTTTCCACATACCCAAACACACTTCTTTGCTTTATTTTCATGCTCAAGAAAGTTAGTTTGGGTTAGGTTAAGTTAAACAGATCAGGAGCGACTGACTCACCATTAATATATTTCTCACTCACAATAAAAGACAGATTTTCTCTATATAAATAATACAGCAGTGAAACTTGCTATTTAAAACCACGTAAATAATGGCCAAAGAGAAAATTCCTGTTATTTCAGTAAAAGAGAAAATTCTGATAACCCGTATGTTATCCCATTAAAAAACACCAAAAAAAGTTTAATTTGAGGCTTATTTCCGTAATTAGTGTGTGGAGGAATTAGGTGATTGTACGGAGAGTTGAAGAGAGAGATGTGTGGGGGATGTTTACCTTGAGGGGTGACAGATATGCGAGAGTATACCAGAGTTTACACTGGCTGCTGCCCATCAGCTCTCTACTGGCTTCTCCGTATCTGTACACTAATCAGGACCACATCCTGTGTGTGTGTGTGTACTCATACACTCACACTCACACTCACACACTCATCAACAGTCATGTGCCAGCCTCGCTACGTTTAACATGCTGGGCATTTGGAGATAAAACTCTGACTGAATGTGAAATTATCAATTACAGACAGCCAACCCGACTAAGTTAAATACCTCGTCTGCTATGTCTATTTACTATTATTATTATTATTATTAATATTATTATTACTTATTCTTATTATTAGTTATTGTTATTATTATTATTTCGCACTGTACTTTGCGGTTGTATATAACCGATAATAATTACTTCTTTTTCTCAGGGAAAAACACACCAATGACATAATTTATGTTATATATATTTTGCTGTTATGTTATTTTGTTATATCGTCTGCGTGTTAGTGGCTTTGCAAGAATGTAAGAACACCCATATTAGGTACTCTCACAACCCAATGTAAATTAAATTAAAATCAATTAAAAATTATTTTTTTTATTCAGGAAATGTACATACATAGTTGATTTACGTAATTTTGGATTTATAGATGCAATGTACCTTATTGTATATGAATAAATAAATAAATCAAAAGATATAAGTAAATAAGTGTGAGTTCGTCGCCCGAGTTTAGTTTAGTTAATTTATTATGCACCCCATGCCCAGCCCTAATTAACATATCACGGATGCGCGAAAGAAACTATTCACTTGACTCAACGTTGATTTGGCGTCGAACCGGCGGTGACTGTGTTGCTGTTGTCTGTGTAAAGAATAGCGTACGGAGGGTTTACATAAATGTAAGCTCCTCCAATAGACCAGACGGGATCTCACCATGGGTATTGAAAGAGTGTGCAGAGGCACTCTGCTTGCCACTCTCCATAGTGTATAGTAGGTCACCGGAGACGGGAGACCTACCAGAAATATGGAAGGCTGCTAATGTGGTCCCAATATACAAAAAGGGTGACAGACAAGAGGCACTGAACTACAGGTCAGTGTCCTTAACTTGTATACTATGCAAAGTAATGGAGATGATCGTGAGAAAAAATCTAGTAACTCATCTGGAGAGAGGGGACTTCGTGACAAATCGCCAACATAGGTTCAGGGAGGGTAAATCTTGCCTTACAGGCTTATTAGAATTCTACGATCAGGTGACAAAGATTAAGCAAGAACGAGAAGGCTGGGCAGACTGCATTTTTTTGGACTGTCGGAAAGCCTTTGACACAGTCCCCTATAAGAGGCTGGTACATAAGCTGGAGAGACAGGCAGGAGTAACTAGTAAGTGCTCCAGTGGATAAGGGAATACCTAAGCAATAGGAAGCAAAGAGTTACAGTGAGGGGGTGAGACCTCAGATTGGCGTGAAGTCACCAGTGGAATCCCACAGGGCTCTGTACTCGGTCCTATCCTGAGTCTCTCAAGGGGTCTCCCTAAAGTCTCTCAAGGGGCACACAAATGCAGTGAGTACAAATAGACAAATAACATTACAAGAATCCCATTTAACATTGCAGGTTAATATAGTAAGCACAGCATATAATTGTTACACTCTTGGGGCAAAATTCTTGTAGCTCATAAGTATACTGTCTATCATACCATTATCACACATCCAAACAATTTGATGTGGTACACTACTTATTTCCTTATTTCTATAGTTATCAATAAGTTGACACTCTAATACATAATGTTCTAAGGTGTGGGCGTGCGGCATACTACATAATTTACACTCCTTATCTTTTTCACTGACATCAACACCGTATTGCCAGATATATTTGTATCCTAATCTTAATCTCATGTAAATTGAATCCTTCCAAGTAGACTTTCCTTTACCGAAGGTGAAGGTCGAGTTTGTATTTATTACTGAATAATTCTTAAGTGTGTTACTACTGTCCACCATTGCCATTCTCTTTATCATTTCTTCACCCTCTTGTTTTTATTTGTTTCAAGGTTAACTGACATACAATATCAACAAGAGTTTTTTCCGTGGCTCTCTTCGCTATGTCATCAACTACCTCATTCAACAGTATTCCCACATGTGAAGGGATCCACATGAATCTTACTTTATACCCAGTTTTTTCTAATTTCTGAACATTCTCTCTACACTATATCACAATATTCTGCTATACTGGGCATCTGCTATTTAAAGACTAACGCTCCTCTGCTGTCAATAAAGAAGCAGGCATTTTTACCACATTTGACTACTTCCTGTAATCCTACTAATGCACCTTGGAGTTCAGCCTGCGTTGAAGAGACATTGTCAGTTAAGCGGCGTCCAATAACAGTATCTACAGTGCCGTTGTCAATGTACTCCCTGATCAAGACTCCACATCCTGCCTTCCCATCCCTAGCTACTGACCCATCACAATATACATGTAGAGTGTTTTCTGTAGGCAATTTTTTAATTATACAATCATATGTTGCCCTCAGCTCTCCTATTTCATACATACTTTTTTTCGTTTGCAAGGGAGTAATTACTACATCTACATTACAATCCTCCCATGGTGGTGTGAATTTTCTCTTGGGCACAGCAATACACTCTGTAATAACATCATACTTAATAACATTAGAACATAAGGTATTCATATATGCTCTTTTCTTCATCATACATTGTTCACTACTTCCCACCTTTTGAACCGAGAGGATTAATTCATTAGCTCCCCCACCTCTCATTAATCTAATGGCAGAGGCTACATTTATCTCTGCAATTCTATCCCCAATACTCTGCAGATTCAACTCCATCCTCATTATCTCAATCATAGCATTTCTTGGGCATCCTAAGATAATTCTCATGACTTCATTTTGTACCTTCTCCAACTTGCCAATCCTACCTTTACCAAAACAAGAAATGACAGGTGCAGCATAATCAATAAGAGATCTTACAGTACTCAAGTATATCATTCGTAGCACAGGGACTCCCACTCCCTTTCCACAGCATGCCAAGGCCTTCAGAGGTTGTAATCTCTTCCGACATTGACCCAACAGTCTGTTCATTTCAGCTTCCAAACTTCCAAAAAAAAAAGCCAGAGCTCAACCCCCGCAAGCACAAATAGGTAAGGCGACAAAGGAGGAAAGAATGCCGAATACGTAACAAAATCATTGAAAGCTGCAATAAGTTTTATCGTCTTTGTAATAGGGTACTAAATTGCACAAAATTTTGCACCCCTCTACCGCCTCTAACGCATTGACAGCGTTCGCAAACGCTTATATATTATTCAAGAATTCAATTTCTTTCTTTATTATGCACCCCATACCCATCCCATGAGCGGTGGTGTAAAGGATTACAGAGGCACATAATCAGTAATTAAAAATTATGTTTTTAAATAGAATTCCTCCCTCACCCCTCCCTTATCCTCTTCCATCCTCCAAAACCCTACAACAGCCCACACCCTTTCCCTATGAATGAACTAGCCCTTTCACACCCCCTTCATATACATCAGCTGGCATGTCGACAGCTTTAACATTTTCCGCACGTCTCGAGACCACTGTTTCTTTGCCTGTGCCAGACAAACTGCCACACCTTAGATTAAGTCCTTATCTGACTTAGGTCCTTAGATTAAGGGCCTGCTCAGGGACTGAACCCCACAATTCATTTAGCTAAGCAAATTACAATCTTGATGATCTAGTTACAAAATTCCAACCCGTTCTCGCATACAAAGATCCAAGCTCTTTAATCAGCCGTCTAAACCTCCGTTTATGAATGAAAAGCGGTTTACACACACCTCACAACTGATGACGTCTGAACACTTCCGAAACAAGTGCTTCGCTCATGTCCTCTGTTCGAACCACAATTCTATAAATGCTTCACCCACGAACTTATAAAATACAAATAATTGCCAACAGAACCTAAACACTTAACCTAACCTACGCCAAACTATACATACAATTTTTATGTATAAGAATATTAATTTATATATAAAAACAAACCCATTTTTAATATACGGTATGTTAAAAATTGATGAATGCGTCTGGGGAGGACGGCTGCTGCTTTAAACAGTATGGTGTGAGAACGGGTTGCAAAATTCAGTATAAATCGTCACATCATCAATGGGTTCGAGATCGACCATGGGTTTATTACCTATTTGATTCGGTTACTAATACCTGGTCGATTCGGACGCGAGACGTTTCGATGAAGCTCGTTTTCTGTTTGTTAAAAGCGTGTACAGTATATTGTTAGGCTAGGCTGTATTTGCTTAGGTTAGGATGTATAGGGAGGGCTCAGTTGGGTTAGGTTATGTTAGGTTGGGTTAAGTTAGGTGAGGTAAAGTAGGTTTCAAAAGCCGCTGGCGAATCGTTTTGTATACGAAGTGACTTGTCTCCTCCTTCCCCCTTTTTGGGCTTGATTGAGTTGAGCTAGGTTGGGTTGAGCCAGGTTAGGTTGGGTTGAGCCAGGTTAGGTTGGAATGAGCCAATTTAGGTTGGAATGAGCCAGTTTAGGTTGGGTTGAGCCAAATTAGATAGGTTTAAAAAAATCCGTTGCGAATCGTCTTGCGTACGAATTGACTCTTGCCTCCCGCAGCACACGCAGTTATCCCCTGGACGAGGCTGCAGCTCCCTCACAACACCTGCTGGCCACCAGCCTACACGTGTAAATATGCCGTTTTTCATTCGAGGAAAACGACAAGGGAACATCAAACACAAGGTATGGTAGCTGGTGGTTACTTGTATACCTTTTATGTATGTATTTTTGGCCTAAATAAAATGTTTGTTTAGGAAATTTTCAGAGAACAAGCATGGTGGTATATTGTCAATTGGCTGCGTATCTAAGTGGGTTCACTCTCATTGTTGGTGTGACGATGTGCATTGAGTTTTGTAACTTGCTGAAAAAGATTGTAACTTAAATGTATTGTGGGGTTCAGTCCCTGAGCCCATTGTGCCTCTGTAACCTTTTCCACTACCGCCCACTAGATGGGTATGGGGTGCATAATAAACTAAACTGAACCACTAGTCTACTATTGTCTCTACATGTGCTACAAAATATCTCAAAATAAACCAAAACTATTTATATACAAAAGTGATGAGCAGGTTATACACATTCCTAGCATATGAAGAAGTTAGATATAAGTATTATATGTATAAGATATACATAGGATCATGTTAAAAGTGATTACTTAGCAGGTTGAGGCATAATTATATTTACTTTGCCTACTTTGAAAATTAATCCAATAATAAATGTAACTAATTGATCAAGTGTGTTTAGCAAGGTGGGAGGGTACAAAGCCTGGTCTAACTACATTTGTACATTTTTGTGCTGAATATATTGGTTCACTTCATTATTTTCTTTTTATCTAGATAGTGCCAGGAGCATCCATAACCTGTGCCAGCATTAAAACTATGATATTATATTATATTAAAGTACATTACTATATATATTACTATAATATTACAGTATTTATATTATTATAGTACTGTACAGTGATAACTTGTGTACGTTACATGTAAAGCAAAATTTTGTGTTGGTGGGGTTAGGCAAGGATGTGTTATGCAAGGTCAAGTTAGGTTACATAAAGTTTATTCAGAGAGTAGCGATGACGTAGGAGGGTCAAACGTTTTGGAGCTCTCGTACCCTACACAATAGTGAAGAGCCTTGTGGCCTTGTTTTCTATGAAAGCAGCACCCACTCATCCCATAAAACTAATTGGCCAAAAAACATAGTCTGCCGTGTTACATATTTCAGTCAATATCTGTAGGAATTGCATCTATAAACTAGATTGTGCTGTTAATATACAGAGGACACTCGATTAACGAATTTAATCCGTTCCGGCACCGACCTCCTCATGCTCGTCTTGTATTCCCCATTTAAAGTAACGGAAATAAAATTAATCCATTTTACCCCAAAAAAACATCAGTATGAAATTTTATAATGTAATTATAATGCATGTAATTATTATAAATGATTTGTTTTACTGTTTTCAATTGTACTTTACCTTATGAAGAGTCATTGCTGGCTTGAGGGAGATGATGGGGAGGAGGAGAGGGGTTACGGTGTGGAAGGAGAACCCACCTCCAAGTCAGGCGATTTCCTTCTTCAGATCTACAGTACAGTAATTGTCTGTCTGTCTTCCTTAACAACATTATCTTTAGCAAGCAGCTTCTTTGGCGACATCGTGGGTCACAAATTGTAGTCACAAAACCACATAAACCCAAAGAAAAGCATAAATAAATGCAGAGGGTTTCTTGTCCTGTGCGTTAAAACAACAATGTCATTGGAGGCGTCCGAGAATTTGCGAGAACCAGGGGGAATGCTAGGAAGCACCTTGTGGTTTTCTCATTAATCAAGTGGAAGCTCGTCAATCGAGACAAATTTTCTGCGAGTGTCTCGTTCGTTACCTGAAATACTCGTAGATGGGGCTTCTCGTCACACGTGGTTCCTCTGTATAAAGATTTTTTTTTTTTTAATTTCTTATTGTAGGATATCCTAGAAAGTAATTCTGTAATATCTTTCAATTCTAAACATGAATAACTGGCATTTAAGGCTACCAAGAACCAAAAACATCCTTTTGCACCAAATATTAACTGCTTCATCCTCATACCTGGGTTCAGTAGTAACTATACTGTACGGTACCACTATTATGATATACAGTAGTTGCATTATTCTTTTACACTACTGTACTAGTGTTTTTATTTAAAGAGCATGATTTTCCCTATACTTATGGGATCTTGTTGCTATTTTCTTGATTACAGAAAATATTAAAAAGACCAAGAAAAGGTGATGTCTCTCAAGCCAAGAAAGCTAAGTTTACACCAGATTTGGATGAAGAGATCACAAGCGAGGAAGATGAGCATTATATAAAAGGAAAGTTGATAAATGAGGATGAGGAGGAGGAAGAGGAGGAGGAGACTGCACAAGAGAAGAAAGTGAGACTGGCCCGCCAGTACCTTAAAGAACTACAAGACCAGAGTAAGTTTAGAGTATGTTGCAAACAATTTACTTTTGACTTTGAGCTAGTTGTATGATTTATTTTATGTGGTGTGATCAGTTTTGGTTTCTTTAAAGTTAGATATTGTATTTTAGTTTAAAAATATTGTACAGTGGAACCTTGAAAATCCAGAGCTCAATACTGTACAACAGAATCCTCAACAAATCCATAGGATTTTGCTACTGAAATGGTATATGATGGTAATGGCTTGGCACTTTCACCTGATAATTCTCTTTCCCTTCCCCTCCTATTCAACCATCATCACCTCTCTCATTGCCACTTTCAGCTTGTACTGTTTTGCACCAGCCTGTGCAAATTTCACAAGCCACATCTTCTTACACCAGTTTGTATTCCTTACACCAGCTTGTACTCAATACTGTACACTCCTTATATTTATTACACCACTTTGTAATCATTTGCACCCATATACTTAATATATCATTCATTTTGTATCCAAAGATTGTATTTTAAGAATATTTAAAAATATTGTTTATTATGTTATATCTGGCATAGAAAACTTTGAATGCCTCCCAAAATTTACTGCATTGAAATGTCAGTGCAATAATAAGCAACTAGATAACAGAATTTTACTTTGTGTGAATGTGAACAAACCATACATAACTATTACAATACCTTGTATTTATCCATAAGAAACACAAGATGAAGAGGATGATGAAGCTATTGGTGTTCGGCTTCGAGAAGATGTGCTTGAAGCATCTGGAAAGCTGCGAAGAAATGTTGCACACACATATATAGAACCTGACCAACAGGATATTCGTGTTCTCAAGTCAAAACACCAGAAGCTACCCATTACTTGTATTTGTGTTTCTCACGATGAAAAACACATTTTTTCTGGTTCTAAAGATTGCTCTATTGTGAAATGTAAGTACTATACAAATTTTTATTTCTTTATATGGTATTTATAAATAATTTGTGTCCATGCCTAGGGGCCTGACAGCTGAGTGGACAGCACTTGGGATTCGTAGTACTAAGGTTCCGGGTTCGATTTCCGGTGGAGGTGAAAATATATGGGCAGAGTTTATTTCACCCTGATGCTCTTGCTCACCTAGCAGTAAATAGGTACCTAGGAGTTAGACAGCTGCTACGGGCCACTTCCTGGGGGTTATGTAACAAAAAGGGAGGCCTGTCGAGGACCGGGCCGCGGGGTCGCTAAGCTCCGAAATCATCTCGATATAACCTCATTATAATACTGTATATGCAAAAAACTAACATGAAATAATACATGGCTTATTATTTTCATATAGTTAAGACTTGGCTGAATTAATTCATAACATCTGAAAAGTAAGTGTATAAAAATTTGAATTAAAATTATTTGTACAGTACTTGTTTGTTCAGGTGATAGTATAGAGCCAGTAAGATTATCTACCATTACCTACTTAATGCTTAGAGTTTGTGGATACATTAATGAGATGTAGTGCACTAGTTCTGGAAAGTATATTATGGAAGAGGAATTCACAAAATTTTCAAATATTTTCAATACAGTTCTATTGATAAATCTTCAATTTTTTTAAATAATCGATTCCATTAAGATATGCGGATTTACAGATTGACCTCTCTGGCTTGGTGCCTCTTTTTGATAAATACTTACTGGTCATCTGGTAAACATTTTTAGAAAATAAAGCAGAATCTGTAACATGAAATATCGTGGGTCATTGATAATCCATAAAATGCAATACAGTACCAGTAATTTAAAAATGTTTGCAATAAAAAAAATTGTATACCAGTGGTAGTACAATAAATACTGTACTGTAAGTTTTTAACACATTATACTGAGCAGTAAGGCCTTGCTTTCCATTGGTTCAATATATGTGAATTTGCAACTTTTTTTTTTTTCATTAAAGTTTAATATTTGCAAAAAGGGGTTAACGAATTAGTGAGTTGTCATGGGGTTTACCTTGCTTTTATGCACATTTTGGATTAGATTGTTTCATTGTGGCCTTATACAAATATTTTGCATTTCATGCTGTATCCAAAGATGCCACATGAAGAAATGGAAGGTAATGTTTACTGCACTTTAATCTACATTTTTGGTTAGTGTATTGGTGTATTTTATAATATGCTGTATACTGTATATGATGAAGGGAAATGGCACTATTTTTATGGTGATAAATTGGGAATGTTAGTGTATGTATAATTTTAAACACGCATCCTGGTAAAAATATACAAAATGCAGTATGTATATAGTAGATACTGGAACATTATTAATTAAGCCATGTTAAGTAGTCTTCACCTCCCCGTACAGTAGGACCTAAAAAATCCGGACTACTGTATATTGATTTGGACCACTTCTGGATTCTCCAAATTTTTCTGGACGAGCCTTCCCATTAGCTATCCTGACCTAAATGCTGATCCAGTTAAGCATTAAAACGTTGCACCATGATGCAACTTTTGTGCCTCACCTTTGCCTACCAGGAGCCAGAACCAAAATCTGGCCTTCTCAATGAAACAAGGGGAAAGAACATTGAAACTTGGCATGGGGTGGAACTGATCTACAAACCTTAGACTTGGAAATGCAGTCACGGAAAAGGGTGGAGGCCATATCTGCACTGAACAAGAGGGAAAACAAATGGAAACCCTTGGGGGGGGGGAAGGTCCTCAGGCCTAGCAAAAACAAGACCACAAAGAGGGTAATAGTAGGACAAGCACATAAATGCTTCAAACAAACCTTTCAAAAAACAGTGGAAACAGTGACTAGGAAATCCAGAAGCAAACAGACTAGGTTGCCGAGATCTGAGGATGCATATTTATCCTTGGAGCTAATAAGATGCAAAAATACAACTTGCATGTACTGTTACAATAACAGACTGAAACAAGTGTCCTCTCTTCTGCATTAAAAATGTGGGGAAAAATTAAGAATCTGGGGAAAAAATAATAAACCTCCTCCCCCATTCCTATGTGCAGAGAAGTGAACCCTTGTTACACTCCATTACTATAACTGCACGTAATCTTAAGCGGCAAAATGATTAGTATATTTCTTCTTAGTTCTGTGTTTGTCGGCTAATCTGGGAATTAGCCGGTTGGAGCAAAGTGGCATCGTCAGTTCGAAACTTGAAATTGTGATGTTATGATACTTTATTTATACCAATAATGAAGGTTTTCCTTATTACAAATCACTTTCAATAATTCTTTGACATTTATGTACCATTTAAAAATAAGTTTTTAGTCCATTTAGACCATTTAAAATAATTTTGTGTGATGGCAAGGTGACATGTATGCATGGATTGGTTTAATTAAGGTTTAATTTTGGTCAGATATTTACTTAAAATTTCTTGTGGTAACATTCATAACGTCTGAATTATATAAGATTTTTTCTATCTCTTCAGATACCATAGAAGGAAAAAGATTAGGAACTATTCCTGGTGGGCGAAAAGGCACAGAAGAGGTACATATTGGACACACATCTCACATATATTCCCTAGCAGTTTCTTCAGATGGGAAATTCTTGGTAAGCTCTTGTGTTTATTGTTTAATGTCATTTGCACTCCTCAAGAATAAACTCCTTGCAAGTATACTGACCAGCATTTTCAGTTCTCCAAAATACTGTATCTATGGTAGTTAAGAATTTTTTTTAGAACTCATCAAAACTAATGTTCTATTTAAGGTCTTGATACTAGATTCTGTACTTTTTCATTTTCTCCTGATTTATAATTGTTATTGATGGAGTTCATTTATTTAAAAATAGCTGCAAGTGATCAGTGGTAAAGGAGAAACATCTTTGTGGACACGGCCTCAATTTTTTACTAACCCCCCTCCCCTCTCCCTATTCACAATGTGCAATTTAACAATTATTTCCGAGTTCACTTGGTTGCTTCCTTATGCAACATTCTATACTTCTTGAGGCATTGTCCACTGCAGTCTAGTCAAGTGCAACTTTCTATCTCCTGCTACCAGGAATTCATACTTGCTGGGCCTTAATTCCAGGTCTTCTCTGAGTTGATTGGGGGGGTGGGAAGAGGGCTTTTATTCTTATGATCTTCCTAGTTTTATTCCATAGTTTGCTCTCTGAATAGTAGCAGACAAGGTCCTCAACTTGAGCACTAAGGATGTTACCTTAAAGCAGTAATTTTAAGTTTTCTTTATTGATATTTCAGGCATCAGGTGATCAAGGGGGTTATATACACATCTGGAATGCAGAAACTCTTGAGCACCTGAAGACGTTTAAGAAGCATCGTGGAGCTGTTTCTGGATTGGTTTTTCGTCGTGCCACACACACACTCTTTTCTGCTTCACACGACCGAATGGTGATGGTGTGGAATCTTGATGCTATGGCATTTGTTGAAAATTTGTAAGTGATTTTTCTGTTTTACCCATGCATGGTAAATAATAAATAAATAATAAATGAATAATAAATCTAAGGCTAATACAATAAAATATACAGTTATGCCATTTCTGTTTGGCACTTCTGAAGATTTAATTTTTATTGTATAAATAATGCTACAACAATATTCATGGAGACAGGTAAGGCAAATCATCTTGAGTATGTTACCATGTACTGTATTTGTAATTCAGAAGCCAAGATGAGATTCATGTAGTTTCTGATTTTCTCAGAGGTGGCCATCAAGATGCAATAACAGGAATTGATGCATTTGTGAGAGAATCCTGTATTACCAGTGGAGGACGTGACCAGTCAGTGATTATATATGTTCTAGTTGATGACAAACAGCTGAGGTTTTCTGGCCACCAGGATTCCATAGATGGTGTCAAGCTGGTTAATGACAAAACATATGTTACCTTTGGTCAAGACGGGTAAGAAAAATCTATTTTAAGTGCATATGCACAAACATTTTGCATGAATGCTAGTATAGTATTGTATAAACATTAAGGGCTACTGAAGTGAAATCTATATGAAAGAAAATGTGTGCGTGTGTGAAGGAGAATGCCACATGTTAGGGGTTTAGTCTTGCCCAACTTTCTAGGATTATACATGAGGTTGGGTGGTGTATGGGAGTGTAAAGAGCAGTCAGGGTCAGCCTCAGTGCCACCCTTTTAAGAAATATCGGCTGAAATTGGGAGATTTGATTTTTGTATAATTTTTAGTAGTTTGTCAGAGATTCATAATATTAAATTTTGAGAAAATTAAGAATGGAGAAGAAAGGTGGAGAGTGGGAATGGGGTAGAGAGATCCTGGCACAGCCGGGTATCCCATCTAGTGTATAATTAAAATGTATGCCTAGTGTCTCAAGATCTTAACTTATTCAAAGGAATTTCATACTCTTTTCTTTGTGTATTTCATGATAAGGCCTTGGTACATCCTTTTAAAATTGCATTATTATTAAAATGCTTGATATGAGAACAAAATTTTGTGTTGAGTGGACACGAATGATTGTAGTAAGGACAAAATAAATAAAAAAAAGAGCATGGGTATATAAAAACTTGTAAAAATAATGAACAAATGAAATTTTTAGAATTGAAGTAGTGGATGCAAACTCGATACATATTTTCATAGATATGACAGCCCATCCTCCTATTTAGGTAGTACTTAATATATGTACGATGATCCTCATCATTACTATGACATAAAAGGAAATTACTGTAGAAAGTAGAAATTGATACTATTGAATTTGGAGAAACAGGAAAAGTTTTTGTATCGATGTTGCAAAGAAACTTAACCTAACCATCCTAGGCCTAATACAAGCTATCTGAGACCTAATATAGTACATATATGTGCTATACTAAGCATAGGAATATTTAAGTTTGATTTTGGCTATATTTTTTCAGGCTATAAAGTGAATAGTACCAAATTCTGCTATCTAATTGTCCATTACGTGTATGTATGTATGATCCAGATAATTACACAAAGTACTATCTAACCGGGAGGATGGGTTGGATGTGACAAGTATAATAGATTTTTTAACCTGTACACAATTGCCAATTGAGAGGTTGGACCGAAGAGCCAGTGCTCATCCTCTGCAAGTACAACTAGGTGACACAACAAGTACAAGGGTCTGTCTAATTACCCAAAGCTACTCAAAGCTTTCTAACAAGCTACCCAAAGCTTCCTAACACTACGTTAGTAATGAATATATTATTCATTATAATGTTCGTACCGAGTGTAGAACATGGAAAAAACATATTTTTAACCTGAAAAAGTATCATTTCATAACGAAATTAGACGAAAATAAGTTGCCAGTGATGCCAAAGCAAGTCGATGGTCCAAGCGACAATGTTGTGGAGCGACTTATCCAAGACACATTGTTGCTTGGAGAGTGAACCTACCCAAACATAACCTCACCTAACTTCACCTAACCTAACCTAACCTAACTTAATATAACCTGTAGGCAACAATATATCTTGGATAAGTCTCTCTACAACATTGCCACTTGGATCGTTGACTTCCTATGGCCTCTCATGCCACTTAGTTTCGTTTAATTTCGTTATAAACTTATATTTAAGAGTCAAAATATGTTTTTTCATGTTCTACCTTCAGCTCTAACGTTACAGTGAGTAAATATATCATATTTCTTCATTATTTATGTAATACTAGGAAGATTTGGGTAGATTTAGTTAGCTTAGGGTAATTAGATGGAACGAAGTACAAACCCCATGCCAACTCCCCACAAAATTCACATTTCACTGCATGCATATCCATTGCCCTCACACCCTTATTCCCACCCCATGTATACTTACTATTCCCACCCAACATATACTTACCACTCCTACCCCATGTACGTTTGTCCACATGCTCACCCAACCCTCCCTTCTACACCCACATTTTGCTGCCTACCTTTCCCAATCATGAAATATTTGCCCATAAAACTACTCCCGTCTCTATCAATATTTTAAATTATAGATGGAGAAGAGTACAATATTTTTGTTTTATAGAATGTTACTGATGTGTGTATGTATTGAGAGATGCCTAGCATAGGGAATGACCAGAAATAGTGTTCCCCCTCTTGTTTGGTATTTATTGAAATATATATATATCATGGTAATTATAATGTACTTGATTGATGTGTTAGTAGTTTGTAAAATTTGATTGGTATTTATAAAGATTTAAATTCTAATAATTTGTTTTGTTATGCTAGAGGACTTGCTTTGTGGACAACCTTAAAGAAGCGCCCTCATTGTCTTGTAAAGGCAGCTCATGGCTATCAAATGAATGGTCAACCTAATTGGCTGACTGCTGCTGCTTCTCTTGTAAATACTGACCTCATTGCATCAGGTATGTATTTTTTACACTATCATCAAGCCTAGAACTAGTAGTAGAATCTTTATCAAGTCAAAAGTATTATTCCTTGTATCTGGTAGTGCATCCTTTGCAGTCACCTGTGATAAGGGAGGGTTGTTAAAAGTTCCCTGTAGTGCTGTTCAAGTATGTTATCCTTCAATGGTTCCCATCTATGCACAATCCTGTCTGTTATTCACAAGTTTGCAAGTTTTTTCCTGAGAGGTTAGAAAAGGAACTTGCAAATGTAAGGACACCATTTTATGGGAAAATGTCTTAAAACAGAATCTTGTATAGAATGTTTTATAACAGACAAAATGGTTGGAACACAATTAGAATGATGCATACTTTTGTGGGATGCAGTTGTGTTGAGAGTAGGTCAAGTTAAAACTGAACGAGAGTATCTATAAAGGGTTTTGAGAAATGTTTGCACTTTCTAGAGTAACTATTTTGCTATACATTTTGCTTGTCAAAAAGACTTCAGATAATACAAATTACGAAGTGGCTGCATTGGTATTGCATTTGATAGTGATAAAATCCCTGTAACTGCTGGTAATAGATCTAATAATCATATCACATTACTTTAGAACTTAATTTTTCTGTTTTCAAATAACATATATTATTTGCTCCTATTGCTTCTAGGTTCAATGGATGGGTTTGTTCGATTTTGGAAAGTTGACACAGAGGGACACCGAACTTTGCAGCGTTTGTTCTCAGTTCCTGTTCCAGGTGTGATTAACTCGCTGGCATTTACAACAAGTGGAAATCACCTCGTGGTCGGAGTAGGACAAGAGCATAAATTAGGAAGATGGTTTAAAGAAAAATCGTGCAAAAATTCCATTGTTATCATTCCTTTAAAAAAAAAAATTATGGAAAAAAGTGTGTCTTAGTAATGACTAATAAATTTGTTATTGATAAATTTGTTTGTTTTTTCCTTTAGGTTGGAAAAGAGTAATTTATTTTTATGTAATGTGTTAATAATAGGTATCACACACATTGCCCATGATGTGCAGTTTGCTTTAATCTTGCTAATTTGTTGCACTTAAAGTAATTGATATTTTTACAGCTTGATAACAAAGTTTCCTTGATCTGTTACCGTACTTATAAGCCTCAATTGGTTATATATTTAGCTACTAACACAATTTGTGGTCTTGCCCATCTCCATGTAGTGTGGTGGTAAACCATCCAGACCTCATGGGGCACAGTATAATATATTTTATATCACATATATATTATAACACAAATCACAATAGCGTGCTGCATCAATCAACAAATCCACAAGGGAGGATTCAACGAGGCTTCGAACCTACGTCCAAGATGATCCCTGACGCTGCCTTAATCGACTGAGCTACGACATGGTCAAAAGAGTTGAAACCGAAGTTCTACTGAACTTACTGGATCCTGCAGCCTCTCCGAGACACAAATCAGGGTTTTACACAACTCCCCTATGCACTCGAGCTATGTCAATAGGCCATTCTACCTCATTACACACAAATCAGAAGTGAACATTTCTGGCATTGCAACAATGCCAGAAATGCAATGCAACATTTTCTACTTGTTGCATTGTTTCCTTCCCTGGTAAACTCTGCTCACACTATGCTTGTGTATTTCAAAAGTTTAATCATGAGAGCACAAATAGAATGTTTAAGGAAGTGATTTTCAGGAATTCCAATATCAGATGAAACTGACTCGTTAGACCAATTACAAATGACACTAAATCACATCTTCGGACCTTTAAAATGTTAATAAGTATAGAAAGCATACCAAGATGGTTTGGGCATGTTGAAAAAATAGATGCTAAACTGGTGTATAGAATTTACAAATGCCAAGTCAAAGGCAGGACTACAGGAAGCATCTCAAGATAACATCAAGGAGGGGAGTAGGAAAGCTAGGCAGGAGAATAAACATGTGCATGGCAGCAGGATGAGAGTGGACAATGCTGAATTTGGTAAGGGACAAGACAAGAAGCAGTGTGTAAGAAGGGAGGGAATGTGTGTGTAGGTACTAAACAATTCATTCGGAACACTAACTACTTATTTATATGTGGTTTATGATTGCTAGAGTGTAGTATTACTTATATGTGATGTGTATTGTATTTGGAATGGCACAATGAATAAGTGATATTTGTTTTATTTATATATATTATAATTTTTACTATACAGTACTACTTCCCTTTTTCTCTGGGGTTGGTTGCTTCCCAAACGTGTATGAAAACACACTGGCTTCTTGTTTCCCTACACAACGAATTATAAATTGAGTGTTCTGTCATGTAATTCTTGACATGTTATAGAGGGACGTCTACAATCCTTAATCAAGCCATTATCTTGTGTGCGTTCTACTCCCATATTGGGATCCTGGGAGATATATAGTACATTTTTATGCGTCTGACTTGCATTGTGCTATATATCAAGGTGATGTACTTAGTACTTTTTTTGTTGGTTAATTACTGCTATATGGTACATAACTGTGAAGTCAGCTCACATCCGAATAGTCTCAGGTTCGAGACATTTGGGCACGTTTCCTTATACCTAATGCCTCTGTTCACATAACAGTAAATAGGTACCCATCAATTAGACAATTGTTGTGGGTTGCATCCTGAAAAAGGTCACCAGTAACTGGCTTAGGTGATCTCGATAAGCCTAACAGGTTTCCTATCTCGAAATATGGGAAAGCCAATTAAAATGAACAAACTGTTGATAAAAGTAAACTGCCTTTATCGCATTGCAAAGACGTGGAGAAATTTCTTGCGTAAGCTAGTCCCTAAAAAATTAACATTGGCTGGATTTTATTTAGATCCTAGTGCATATGACTGCCAAATTCAAGAGAAGGACAGAACTCGACCTCCAAAAAAATTAAAGGCAATACTGTTGTGGGAAGGTTGTTAATTTTAGGCGAAAGATAGATCTGCCTCGGTCCCCATAATGTCACCAGTAATACCAGACCTGGTTGTAAGAGTAGTGACATTCGTAATGGCGGAGTAATCACTTCTAGTGGTGTTGATAACTGGAATAATGGCTGTTTTAAAGGGGAGTTTTGTTAGTATTTGTGACCACAAAAATAATACGCGATGGTGATAATAGTGATAGTTAAAATATTGAGTGTTAATTGATAAGGTTAATAACAACAGCAAATACAAATATTAACAATATTGAGAGGTAATTATGGTATTCGTGTATATAAATCAGTGTATTTATTTAGTGGCTAACAGAATGACGAGGATATGGACCATGGCGATGGCACTGTTGGCGGTGACACTGTTGGCGATGGCAGTGGTGGCGGTATCACTGGTGGTGATGGTGGGTGTAGCTCCCCATGACTATATTTACACTCACAGGGTATTGGCGCCAGGCGGGAGCGTGCAGCTGTCGCCAGCACTTAGCCACCGTCGGCACCAATGCTCCCTCGTCCCATACCTCTCGCTTATAACACTGAAAGACTAAAATTCGCTTTCTTAACCTTTCTAACCTAACTTCCCCTGGTATGGAATGCATCTTGAGGACGAAGTTATGACGGGAAGGTGGGACTGGCTGGAAGTGGGCAGTATGGGGGCACTGGCCGGGATCCAGAGGAGGGTACTGGGCAGGCCTAGTGCTCAGTGTGTCGACAGCCGGGTGCCACGGAGGAGGGCGGGGCGGGTCTTGTCACTACTACAGAGTTCGTTCACTCAAGCTGTATATTAGTCTATTCATTTAGTCACAATTAAGTCTTCGTACTCAAGTGCTTGCTTAGAGGAAGAGTGAGGCTGAATATCTCACGCGGCGTGAGGCAACAGTGGTGAATGTGGGTTGCTGACTACAGATTCCCATTTATGACAAATTATGTGGTTAAATTAGGTCAATTTACTCATTAGTTCATCCATTGTCTCCGGGGTTGAAAAAATAATTTGGCGAATCCCATTACCAACTAGTTCATCACTCTTCCATTCAAGTGTCGCGAGGATATATCTAATGTACTAGTGAGAGTTTACGTCGAAGGATAGGACAATAAGCAAGCATCAGTAGTGCTTCAGCAGCAGGACAAGCGGCAAGAGTGCTCCGAGGACAAGACAAGCATCGAGTGTGCTCTTCGGGTTGCCGAACTATGACTGGAGGGGCAGGGTAAGACCTTGACACCCGCTTCCTTCACTGCACCGTCGACATGTTCCGCCGTGGACTGGTCAAGGGCAAGGTTGGTGAGAGGGAACAAGGGAACGTAAGCGGTGTGTGTGTGTCTACCAATAATTTCTCTTGATTTTGACTTGTCTATTTTCGAAGTTACGTTTTGTTTTCGCTTCGATTACAGCTACGTTGAGTCCATTACATTCGTTTGATCAGTACTCACACTGGAAGATTACATTCTCACATCTTTGCAGGTCTAATTTGCTTTTCCATTTTCCACCCGAAGGCTGTTTTTTTGTGTGAGAAATGAGAGAGAGAAGAGAGAAGTTATATGGTCATTTGTATATATATGATACCTCTATATGCACCTAATCTTAGCTGTACCTACCCCCTTGAGTATTAGTCTGTTCCCTGTGTGTAAGTCTATATGTGTGATTATACCTGTCTAGTTTTACACACGTGTTAACAATCGTGCGAACCTTTGTATGCAATTTCTGCAAACATAGACACCTGTCTGATTTTATATGAACATTTGCGAGTAACTCGTTTCATTGTAGGCCACGTACATGTGTTACGTGCCTTTGGATATGTTTCTCCATTGTCGGAAAGAGGAAGCTGTCAGGTTTATAGAGAGGTCCTCATACCCAAGAGCAAAGGATGTCCGCGCGGTCACTAAACCGGTTGCTTGCCAGACCCAACTATTTATCCAACTGTGTGCATATAACTGCAGCCAGCCCATCTTTCCAAAATAAAATTTTTAACGATGTGGTCGATCATTCAGATATGGACATGATGGACCAATAAATTGTAGAATATTGTATTACTGAATTTGGGCAAACCAGAAAAGTTTTTCTGTTTATATTGCTAATGAAACCTAACCTAACCTAATCATTCTAGGCCTAATATACGCTATCTGAGGCCAAATATAGAAAATATATGTGCTAGGCTTAGGAATATTTAAGTTTTGTTTTTAGCTTTATTTTTTCCAGACTATACAATGAATAGGGGCGGGGGGTTGGAATTGGTACTGCGTTCAGCTCCTGGGCCCCATGTAACTGTAACCTTGGTCAACTAATTCAATAATTCTTGATCCCATAGTTTCTTGTCATACCTGCTTTTAAACTTGATTATGGAAGTAGCCGCTGTTATTACCCCCTTCTAGTTTGTTCCACTGAAGAAGATAAGGGAATTATCAGGAGAAAGCACTAAACCATTACGACTATATAGCACTTGGAAAGGATAAAGATTTAGGATAGGGCTGAGGAAAGGAATGGTGTCCAACCACTTGGACTGTCGGAAATTGAAGGCCAACCCGCAAGAAGCGACACCGTTGCTCTGCCGTTCGGTCCAAGTGGTTGAGATTCCACTGAAGAAGTGTACTCACCTATTTGTGTTTGTGGGGGTTGAACTCTGGCTCTTTAATCCCGCCTCTGACTGATCAGTCAGTCAAATGATGTACAGGTTCCTGAGCCTACTGGGCTCTATCATATCTACATTTGAAACTGTGTATGGAGTCTGCCTCCACCACATGGCTGCCTAATGCATTCCACCTGTGGCTCATTTGGGTACTCAGTTTTCACCGTGTCCCCGTGTTCGCGTACCACCCTTGTTAAAAAGTTTATCCTTATCTACCTGTCAATTCCTGAGAATTTTGTAGGTAGTGATTATGTCTTCCCTTACTCTTCTGTCTTCCAGTGTCGTGAGGTGCATCTCACGCAGCCCTTCCTCGTAACTCATGCCTCTTAGTTCTGGGACTAGCCTAGTGACATACCTCTGAACTTTTTCCAGCTTCGTCTTGTGCTTAACAAGGTACGGGCTCCATGCTGGGGCTGCATACTCCAGGTTTGGTCTTACATATGTGATATACAAGGTTCTCAATGATTCCTTACACAGGTTCCTGAAGGCTGTTCTGATGTCAGCCAGCCTCGCGTATGCGGCAGATGTAATTTTTTTATGTGGGCTTCAGGAGATAGGTTTGGTGTGATATGAGTGTGTCCTCATATTTCTGTCCATCCATTTGAACTGATCAGTACAGCGACGACCTCGATTCTTGAAGGTTGACGTTCGATTCCCAATGGTCCAAGTGGATGGGCACCGTTCCTTCACTTCGCCCTATCCAATCTCATATCTTGTCCTCGTATTTCTTCCTCGTGCTATAGTCATTCTGAGAGCACTTTCTTCTGATAATTTCCTTTCCTTTCCTCATATTCCTGTAGGTCATTTACATGTCTAGCTTCCATGCATGTCCTCACGTTAGCTTATTACTCGACAGCAGACCCGTGGCGCAGTGGTAAGACACTCGTCCCGGGCTTCGCGAGCCGATTTGGCCTGGGTTCGTATCCTGACTGGGAAGGAGTGATTGGGTGCCAGTCCTTAACTGTATGCCTCTGTTCACGCAGCAGTGAATGAGTACCTGGTTGTTAAACGATTCGGCGGGTCGTATTCCAGGGAAAAGTAAGATTAAGGACCTGCCCGAAACGCTCTGCGTGCTAGTGGCTTCACAGGAATGTAAGAACTTCTATAATATATATATATATATATATATATATATATATATATATATATATATATATATATATATATATATATATATATAAATAAGAACATAGGATTAAAAGAAAATGCATTCTCCTGTTCTTGTCTTCCATTCTACACGAGGGAATTCGTCCCGCTGCCTGCCGCTTCTTCAGTGGCCTCAAATTATTGGGTTTCATGGCTGAGAATATAATGACTTCTCTACAATTCCTCAACAGTTCTTTGAGGGTAGAGTTATCAACCGTGTGGACTTACCGTGTTTAGTTAATAGGGGATTATATTTTGGTAATTACCTAATTAATTGGGGGGATTAACTACATTTATTTTTTGTATTAACTTGCCTCAACAAACATTGCCACATACTTAAGATACACGCCTCCCTCACCTGCAGCTGGTACAGGTCTCCTCCTCCCACAGTCTTGCACAGTGGACCTCCAGATCAAGACGAATCCCCGCTTGACACACAATAGGTGCCAAGATTCAGTGGCTGCTCCCACTACCCCCCCCCCCACGCCAACCCCTCCCCCACCCTTAAGGTACATGCAGGCCAATCTTACTCCCCCCTTGTTTGCCCCACCACTACTTCCTGGTCACCTTATTTTAACTGTAAGCGACACAACATTGAGGCGGGAGGAAGAGGTTGCGTTTGTGGTCGCTTCACTTTCGCTCGTCCTCTCGTGAAAACAACGTGATCTAAACGCGACTATGTAGTATGTTAAGGACTCACGTCCTCACTCATTATGTTCTTGATTGCCCGTTGATTAATGCATATAGAAACACTGAGATAAGGATTGTTCCTGAAAAAGGGTTTTGTCACAACGGAAAGATTGATGATATTCTGGATAGATATAAGATTTTTGCACCAAGATTGTAACTTTGTTGAATTGTCTGAATGCCTATTGCAAATGGTCTGTGTACCTAGTCATTCAAGTATTTGTGTGTACGTCTAGTAACATAATGCATGTGTAAGGAATATATGTATATGTTTATCACTCAGAATGTTCGGTAATTTGCTTATTGTTTGTGATCTCTCTCTCTGTATATATATATATATATATATATATATATATATATATATGTATATATTATTCAGGAAAACTATATATATATATATATATATATATATATATATATATATATATATATATATATATATATATATATATATATATATATATATATATATATATATATATATATATATATATATATAACGTTTCTAACTGCCCATACGAAAGGTTTTAAATATTTTAAATATGCCTGAGTGTGTGTAGTTGTTGTGTTTTCAGAGACTGAACTCGTGCCGTTAGGCTGCTCTGTGATGACTTGTGACCCTCTTGTGTTTTGTCTTATAGCTTTGTATCCATATATTGAATTAGTGTCCATTAATGTCATGTTTAGTTTAGTTCATTTATTATGCACCCCCATACCCATCCTGTGGGCGGTAGTGGAAAGGGTTACAGGGCACATAATGGGCTCAGGGACTGAACCCCACAATTCATTTAGCTAAGCAAGTTACAATCTTGATGAGCTTGTTACAAAATTCAGCATAAGTCGTCACATCAATGATGGGTTCGAGATCGATCACAAGTACAGTTTCTAAATTAAGCAACTGACACATGTGGAGAGCTAGTGTCACAATTGATATGTTTGTCCTGCACACCGCCCCCATCCAGTGGGCAGCGGTGGATAGGTTACAATCACTTAGTTACTACCTACAGTTAGCAAACTGGGGATATTTGGTTAAAGTTTCTGGTAGCAGATCATTTCGAATGAAATATTTACACATCGTTGGAACATTGCTTATAGAATTGTCTCTGAATTCACGTATCTTTTCGCAATCCATCACATAGTGACGGAGGGTGTGCGAATAATTTTGTTGACACAGTTTACATTTGGTCAGGTCTACATCAGCAGATCAAATGGCACCATCAGTTTGTATGCGCTGCGTCTCATACTTTTGAGAGTATGTAAACAATAGGTGAGCGTGCAGGACGGCCGCCACGCTTGGCTGCTAGTCATGTAACATTATAATAAGTATTAAAGTCAGTAACCAAGCAAAGGCTTTATATCAATCCTATAACCAAGACTTCCACAGAACACCACAGGTAACTCCGCCGCTAACACAGTCCACCTACCTGTCTCAGTGCCCGTGACTCACTTGAATTACTAACTCTCCATCACGGCCCTTTATTCTCTTCCTTCCCGTGCCAAGTATTGCCCCGACCTACGTGGTGTGTGTCTTGTGTGTTATGCTCATGTTTCTGATTGCTCTTCTTGTCCATAGTCACATGAGATTTAATTCCTTAAGCTTGTCTTTATGTTAAACTTCGTTCATTTTGGTATCAGCCTTTGTTATAAATTGTGGAGCTCCTTATTCATTTTCTCCGTGTGGTGGCGATACATGTTCCAAAATTGGTCTTAATTATGTGATAAACACCCTATTTATGTTTTCTGAGGCTATTCTCAGGTTGGTAGGTTTTTATTACTGATAACATTCTGCTTTTATGTCCTTCAAATGATGTTTGGTGCGGT